CCGAGATTGAGGGCCTCGGAGCCATGCTCGCGGTCGGGGACCTGCTCAAGCCGGAGACAATCGATCGGGCCATGCGAAACAAGGAGCTGGACGCGGTCATCTCTACGGTTGGTGAGTCGCTGCGAAACAAGCACCATGTATGGTGTTGGGAAGTGAGAGAGAGAGAGCATTGAACGGGTGTAGAATCCGTTTCTTTGATTCTAGTAGATTGCTCAATGTCTTCCGAGCTGTGCATGACGTGTTTCGAAGAAGGCAGTCAGAATTCGATACAACTGAGCCGCTTTTAATGTGCAACGTTTGGCGATTGGTTATTACGCTGAGGACAATATATCAGAACTCTATTCTGGCATGTCAGATTGAGTGAAATCGCTCCGAGGGTGCTACCTTTGGAGGCCGGAGAAATCATTCATCCCTGATGCACCAGTTTCAGATTCTGAAGCCATCAACTGAAAGCGGTGCTTTTGTGTATGCAGGGGGGGGCATCAAGGACATCCACGTTGACTCGGTAAGCCCTCTCCGCCTTTGCTGCGCCCAGTCATCATTACTGACACGACTTGGGCTAGATGGTCGTCGCTGCCTGATTGCGCAAGCAAAGTGTTGAATGAGGCGCCCCACGGGGTTGCCGTGAATGCAGTACTCCTACCTGCTTCTGATAAATCTTGCAGGAGATCGTCTTTGTTCGTCGGGCTCTCATCATTCTAATCTGCCTTTCCTGCAGACTGTCTTCTTCATGTACATGGTGTTTCCCTCTTTGCTAGCATGCACGCGGTAATTTGGACCTCTATGGTCACGGAGAGGGTCCGTTACAAATAGTCGACAAACTGAGATGCCGTCATTTCATCATTGCAGGAAGGGAACATCAACTTGATAAACGCTGCAAAGAAGGCCGGAATCAAGAAATTCATCCTGGTAAGCTCGTTCCGTTGGCGTGTGTCTCTGCTTGTAAAGACGGTAGAGCCAACTCGTCAACGTAGTGCTCCTCAGTGACTTCGAGCACAAATTCCCAGGATCGGATCAGGTTCTGAAATCTGTGTGCTTCGTCGTGTTGTGTCTCGCTCGGAGATTGGAATGAGTGTCGAACTCGTGCGCCGATAAGGGAGACTGGATAGTGCATCTGAAGTTCCCAGTGTTGACCATGTGAAGGACAAGCTTCCACAGATAGTCTGCCCGTCTGCCTGTCAGATGTGGGGGTTTAGGGCTTTAGGGTTTCAGGGATTCAGGTTTCTAGGTGGGACCTTTCTGCTCCTGCGCATGTTTCTCTTGAACAGAGGCTAGTTTCACCACTAAAAGTCGTACCTGCGTGGTACCAGGTGACGAGCATAGGAACGGGTGACAGCTGGGATGCCATCCCCGATAAGGTAAGGCCCACAGAAGCTGAGTGTTCAGATGGCTTCCCCCACCGGTGAATGATCGTAGACGCTTTCTCCCAGGACGCAGACAAACCTTGCGAACTTTCTGTTCTGGTTTTGCTGTCGCCTTCTCTGCACTGGGGTCCCAGGTTGTGCTTCTTTTCGCCCCTTTCAAGGCAAGCCGTGTTTCGCTTGTATAGAGTCTCTTAGGGTAGAACCGTTTCCGACCGATTTGACCGTGGTTTGAAGTTAAGCATATGTATTACCGTTAAAAACGTAGAGTAAGTTCCTCAACAGCGAGTACGGAGATATTCAAGCAACCGTGACCACAGAGAGTGTTCTTTCACCGGTTTCGGAAGACGTTAGAGAAACCGCATGTATGCAAACTCCCCCCCCTAAAATTCATCTGCAGTGAGGTGCAAAAAGCAGAAGCACCTTTTTGACGGCAGGGACAAGGCTCGTGTGCACAAGTCCTAGAAGCCGCGTGCTGTAGGTCTGGATAATTAGTCTACCCGTGCGCTGACTCGAGAACTCTCTTCAGGAGAAGGAGGTCTTGGGGCCCGTGTTGAAGGAGAAGGAGAAAGCGGAGGAAGCGTTGAAAGCCAGCGGCCTCGTGTGGACGATTATTCGGCCCGGGGGGCTGAAATCTGAGGTCAGTGGCAATCCACAAAACGAACTTTCTGTCCCGACCAGCTTGGAGCGCCCCTCGATTTTGTCTGAAGGGTACTGTCGATGTTGGTAATCTCGTCCTCAGCCGTCAGCATTGACATTCGAACAAGCTTTCCTCTCTAAATTTTGTCTTGTCCCTCCCCCCTTCTAACCAAAACCGTGCTTGCAAAGGGTACATGCCTGCACGCCTTCTAGGTTGGGTAACGCAGCGTATTTGAGCTCTCCTGATACGACTTGAGCCGTCAGAGTAGCAGTCAGTTTGTAAGGGAACAGCCAAGGGGAGAATTCACGTTGGCAAAGTGCAGCGTGTTGCCCGTCAAAGATGCTGACGCTTTTGAAAGCTGATGCCAAAATAAACCTGATTAAGCTTGTGGCTCTTGTCTTCCACCGTGCAGCCCGCAACTAAGAAGGGCTTCCTGACGGAAGACCGGAGCATGGTCGGGGCCATCCACCGGGCGGACGTTGCACAATTGGTTAGCGACCACCCACGTTTTGCCTCCTCAGTGCATATTTCCGGATTGCATACGGTGTTGGCGGATTCTATGCACGGTCGTTTCCTGCATGACTATCCGCTTGAATGAAGAATGACTTAGGACCTGTTGAAGGAAACGGAGGAAACGGTTTAGTCGATTAGAGGTACATTGAAGCGCTTGTGCAACGACTGCCTAGTGTTACTTTTATTGAAAGAAGTTCGAATAATTTTTGGGCTTTATACTCGCAACTGATCTCTTAATGAGAGTCGGAGACTCAGATGCTCGGCAGGAGCAGCGTGATCGAACAAGTTTGAGAGTCCCCAAGCAGCGTGTACGACCCTATGGTGCAGAATCTGCTTTTGTCAACGGCTGGTTGGTGATGATGCCCATTAGGAATTTTACCGGTGGGTTTATCGCAGATGTACGTTCCTTGTTGTTCTTGCAGGTAATGAAAGCCTTGTACGATAAGCGCACCGAGTACAAGGTCCTGGCAGCCATCGATAGAGAACAGGTACGTACTCACTAGCTGCGGTAGCTTGACGGCCCTGCTTTTTGTACCATCACGATTTCTTCATCTCACGGATGCGTTCATGCGTGATTGCTAATATAGCTGGGGGCACGGAACGTTTTGGGGTGTGCCGGGAACTCCCGAGGATCCAGCTATCATGAGAGTAAGCAGCACGTTTCCTAGATTCGACTCGGATCTGGTACTTTCTGAAGCGGTGAGGGGCAGTTAAGTTGCACCCCAACCTACTTTTTCAATCTTGTGTGGATTCAAGGGTATTGCTGCTCAGAGCTTCAAGCGACAAACCTTTATAAAGAAGTTCGACAATTGAGAGCTCATTCTCTATCTCTTCCCGCAGATTTTTGGCAACCCCAAGGGAGAGGTATCTGAGTTTGTCGTGGAGGAACTTGGTCAACACGAGTACATCTGAGTTGCTTCTAGATAATTTGAGTGAAGACGGAGCCCATGTCTGGATAGGGTCGAACATATGATCGAGCTCCATTCAATCCAAATCTCGACGATCTCTTTGTCAGGATTCTCCCATATTCAGAAGGTATCGCTGCTCTAAGCATGATGCTTAGAGCTCCTAAACATTCGTGCAGATTGTCATGGCATAATCCACCAGATAGTAGAGGAAATGTGCATGCTCAAATTTGCCTCGTTACACCTACCATGAAGCAGGCTGGCGGGTAGATCATGAAGCTGATCGTTCTTGAGCCTGTCCAACTAAAGCTAGAAAGGATGTGCACGCGTACACATGCTTACTGTATGTTCTGGAGTTTTGGTTTTGGGGGAGCTACTACCTGCAGAGTGTAATATCATGTCAGCTATAATGAGCGAGCAGCGCTCAACCTGGAAATTTCAACGATCCTAACATGCGGAAATGAAGTCGGTTGCATATCTCTGCATCATTATACACCTGCCATGGCATGCACCGTCGCATTCAATCAATGCATGTGCGGTTCACGATCGTGCCAATTAGTCAACGTCGAGTCCAATTGATGGAGGTGACATGTGCATATCATGTTATGATTATGTTGTCTGCTCACCAGCAGACGCCCTTGATGATTTGTCTGCTCTGGTCTATGTCAGCTTGCAAAATCAAGCTCTCGTAATCGCAATCTATCCAATTGATCAGCTAGGTTTATCAAGTGTCCGCGGACTGGATGTAGTCAATGCTTCTGTAACCTCCATTTTTCCTCCTCCCTAAGATACGTTTCCAAGGTAACACCAGGCATGTGAGGTTTCATAACGTCAATCTCTGCCGTCTTCAACTTTGCAGAGCATATCTGGAGCGTCAGAATGTTAGGCAGTTCTCCGACTACGCGTGCCAATTGTTCCAAATCCACTTGTTCCATGATCTGGATCCCCCAGTCATAAAGTGCCAAACGCTCCAGCTCCTTGAGGGCACTGAATGCGGGAGTGACCTTGCAAATCCAGGGGCATTCGAGGGTTTTAATGTTGCACATCTCATGGAGAAGAGTTGGCCAGGCGTCCTCTTTGACTTGTGGAAGGCATGAAAGTTTTAGAGAGGTGAGGGAGGGGCACTGTTGAAGGATGGCCACTAACCCAACTGCAGTTATCTGAATAGGCGCTTCTCTATTTGTGTATCGCAGACTGACAAGGGGCGACCCAAGCACTAGCTCTTTGAGTAGCGGACAACATCTTGAGATGCTGAAGAGAACTGCATCATTCAAGTGGGAGAGCTGAGTTCCGATGATGCGCAGCAACTCCAAGCAGGGTAAGCCACTGGCTAGAGCTACATACGCTTCCGTTGAAATGCTGGCGGAGGCTGTGAAGGACAACGCCCTTAGACTTGGGATTGTTGTAGGTATCAGGTTGAGGCTGTCAGGCAAAGAGACGACTCGTTCCTCGCCAGTGTACGGGAGATTATCAAAGACAAGTTTCTTTACTTGCTGACATCTGCCCGCATCAGCCAGAACTGCGGCAAATTTCTGCGGGGATAATCCGCCATGTCCACTGAGATATATGTTTTGCAGGTTCACGCTTTGCCGGAACACCTGGTCAAGTCCACTGATCTCCAGCTCTGCATCTATTAGCTCAAGAGTTTGTAAAGTGCTGCAGGAGGCGGACAGCAATGCAGCGAGGGAAATGGGCTCGCAGTAGCTTTCGCAGGCGAGAGACATCGAGGCCCACTTCCTGGGAGCAAGGGCAGAGATCACTTCTCCCCAGTCTGCAAAAGGTGTGTCATAAACTGTGTACAGGCATAGCGAGTCAACTTGAGGATTGCTCTGCAAAGCAGCTCGCAGGTGCGACACATGCGTTCGCCTGCTATCCATCGAGCTAATGGAAAGCTCTTTGCTCGCCTGGCGTGCATAGCTACACCACTCCTTGGAAACCAATTTGCATGATGCGAGAGTGCAAGCACCGTGCTGTCCCGTCTTTGTCACAGCCAAGCAGACTATCTGCGCCTTGAGCTCTGGAGGAAGTGCACCCATGCCTGAAACCCTCGGGGAAGCTGCGTCAGCCATGTTGACCACCGATGAAAGGCGGCTTTGCCCGCTTTGTCAAGCCTGGCGCCAAGCATCGCAGATGGCAACGGCATTGAATGGCAATGCCTGCTTCACAACTTCAAGTTCAAGAGCCAGCCGCAAACTTAAGAGACAGCTAACTCGTGAGCCTGCGCAGTAAGCTCGCGGCCGGCTCGTGCACGGGCGCGCTGACAGTGCCGCGTGAACCTACGCCGTCGATTCGTAGTAGCTGAAGATCGTGGACGGCCAATTCGTAGATTCCAATTTTCCACGCGCGCATAACAAGAGGCCACCCGCATGTACGGTATCTGCACTCACTAGGAACTCGTTTAAACTGCAAACCGGCCGAATGTCAATGCATGCGACAGTCTGCTCTGACATACCGTATGCATTTTCCGCGGTCCTGTGCATCGATGACGGAATGATTCTGAGAATCCATCAGCCGGAGGCGCTGCTCAGCAGCTTCTGAATCTCAGCATTGCAACGACATGAGTCTTGCGCCAGACACCAGATGCACTTCGCCAGCCTGTCCACTGTTTCCAACGTCTCTAAAGTTGGAAGACAGTGCAACCGGCCTGCCATGCACGGGCTAGTCGGTCAAAACACAGTCTTTGGTAGAGGGGAAAGAACGGCATTGGACAGGAAGACAGGCAAATGTTCGCTAGGTTTTGAAAATATCGCAGGAAAGAAGCCTCGACTTAGGAAGATCAACAGCATTGCTCCTGAAAGGTGTCGCTGGAAGGTGGCTGACCGGATCCTTTGACAGAGACGAGGAAAATCAGACAGCATTGCGGAATGAGGATACACGCGGGGAAAGGGGTGCATGCAAAGCGCACCGCTTAGTGGGCAATCTGAAGAGAGGGGGGGTACCAGAGCACTAATGGCGCCCACTAACAGAGCCTTCGTTTTGGTCGCCCTCTGCGTGCTGAGCCCGACTCTGACCAGGGTGTCCAATGCGGCGACCACGAACCCGTTCATCATTGGGGGGGGGTCAACCACCCCCAGTACTTCGGGGGGGACAACCACGACTGCCCCCACAACCGCAAGCACAACGTCTCTGAGCACAAACCCCACGGACCCAATCTCAACGTCCAAGCCCAATACGCTTTTCACATCGGTGACGCATCCCGTCACGCCAAAGAACCTGGATGCCGCGCTGTTGAAGAAGCCCATCCCCACAAATGAATTCTGGACGAGCCTGGTGTTTGGGTCGGGAACGGGGAACGTGTATGTGAATCCATATGTGGTCTGGGTAAGTCTCATAAGCTTCTGCTCATTGACAGGCAAATCCTTGAAGTGGGCAGTTTATGAAGATGAGATCTGGTGGGGCCTGAAGGCGTGTTCTCTTGTATACTCGTGCATGGTGGAAAGAAGGTGCTGAGAAAGATAAAGCTCTGCTGATGCAAGGTTGGAGATCTGTTTATTGAAGATACAGCAATTGACCATTCTGGCGGGGCGGTCCAAAATGCTGCTAATTCCAGAAGATTCGTACCCAAAAGCTAAGTGCATCAGCATTGCAATTTGTGAGGGTAGATGACCATCACTTCAGGTCTCAAGTGGATCACAACAGGTCTGCAGCGCAAAGGGCACGCAGCGCTAGAAGACACGAGTTGAGGAGCCACAGAGCAGAGTTGATGTCAAACATGGGTTGATGCTATGGAAGACAACTAAGAACTTGAGAGGATTTTGTTTACCACTAGATAAACCAACTTACATGAGACTCTTCCATTTGCAGCCCAACACTGTGGCGCCTTTTGGGCTGAGCATCAGTCATGCGGATGAGCCCACGGTCAACATGTTCACTGCAAAGGCAGCCAGCGACAGGGCTATGGTGAGCAATCTAAGGTGGCCTTTTGGTTCCCCTTTTGGAAAGCTCGAATTCCACAAAAACAAATTTAGCCATCTGCTCGGATGCAAACCTTGCTGGATCCTGGGACAAAGTCCTCCAATGAAAGAACCTCCTGCTATCATGGATTACGCCAGTTGCTATCCAAGCCGACGTTGCTTCTGATTCTCTTGTGAGCAGAACATGAGTCGTCAGGCAACTAAAATGGAATCAACGAGGAGAAAAAGCTGAAACAGAGGTCCAAAAGAAACTCAGTGAGCAGGTTGTCGAGCTGCAAGCATATCACATCAAGCAAATTTGAAGGGGTAGCGCTTCGGATTTGTACAGCTGTCGAGCAGTACAAATCTACAGCTGTCATCTGAAAGAAAACAAATGGCAGCTGGACAAACGAACAAGTCTGGCGTCCTGCTAAAGCCTTGGTTTGCGAACGAGAATCTGCTCGTGAGATGATCGGTGCAGGAACATAGGAACAGCCTCGTCTTTGAACATTGAATCAAAATTGTGAGAGGCAGAAGTCTTGGGAGGTTCAAAGAAGACGGAGAAGTGATGGTCGCCAGCGGATGCGACTTACCGAACAGTTCTATTCGGTGAAAGAAGTGTTGTCGTACTCACCGTAGATAAGAAAAGCGCAAGGTCTACATCGCACTCATAGCTTCTTTGAAGGATTGCAGATCACAATGTGGACAGAAAAGCTTCCTTCTTTGCTACGTCAGCAAAGCACTCCAGCAAGGAAACACTCCGCAGAGCTGACGAACAGGCTAATACAAAAGGACGCCATCGAAGCTTGTGCAAAGAATCACAACAGAGTTCTACGTGGCAATATATGAGCACATTGGGACAGCTGCTGACGCAGGGTTCGAGCTCAGCTCTGGCAGATCAAAAGGCAACAGATGAAGACTCCTCCTCTCAGCGTTCACGATTTCAAACGCAGAGCAAGCGGAGCAGGGCTCATTCAGTGCCGATCCTTCGAAGGCCGTTGGCTTCCATCTTAGATTGGAAGGGACTTCAGCTCCTTCCACACACTTTCTCTCCCTTCTCAGACTTCGTACACGTCACAACCCGCTGACGTCACCATTCCCCCCTGCAGAGCTACACGACCGCGAAGCAGGCCGACATGGGTTTCTCTTCGGCCGAGACCGGGCTGGGTTACACCGTGACGGCCTTCGACGAGTTTTCGGCCACACTCGTCTACAAGGCCTCGGGGGGCACCTCCTCGCTGACGTTCCCCCTCGTCAAGGGCATGGCTTACGTCACGGCCAACTACGCGGGGCTGACACCTGTCATCTACACGGCGCACAGCATCACGGGCGTGGCGGCATCGACGGCTGTGGGCGATGAGGGCAAAAAGTGAGAGGCTCATCTACGATTCATTTCAAAAGGCGGGTCCTGAGAAACTTCGCTTTTGGGTGTTCCGCACAGCTTTTTGTTCTGTGCCGCTTTGGGCATGCCGAAAGGTTGTGCGTTTCTTCTGTGCAACTCTGGAGCGGATTTTCGTACGCGCCAGCCGTTTGCGAAGTGTCTCGTTGACTCTTTCTGAGGGATTATATATTACGGAGGGAACGGCCGAACCGCGATAGAAGGGGGATTGAAGGAAGCGCTTACGAATCTTCCTTAAAGCGGTCTGACGCTGATAAGACCGTCGTTTCGGAGTGCTGGTGCTTGTGACTTCAGTACGAGCTCATTACGCCACAGCCGAAAGCTAGAATGAGCTGAGCCGGAAGCACTTTTTTTTTGAATTTTGTGACCCCGCCACTGGTGCGTTATACTGAGCGGTGCGTTTTTGACGCAGGTTCACGATCACCCTCTCAAACGGCGACACGTGGCTGCTGTACTCCCTCAGCGCGTCCCTGACCCTGTCCAATAGCGGCAAGGAGCTCAGAGCATCGGGTGAGCCATGAAACTCTGACAAAACCTGACAGCGGAGAGTGAGTGGGGACTAGCAGTTTGTAGAGCAGGAGTTTGTCACGCCGCTACGACTGTTATATTGATTCTTTACTGATGAGCTTCAGTTGTCTTTCAGTGCGTTCCGCTCAGTTTCGCCGCTCGTTCTGTTTGGAAATTGTTCATCTCAATTATGGGACGGCTGCTCATCGGGCTATTGGTCGCGTTAGGCAGGCTGCCACTCTAAATACTGAAACGTTCGTCCACACTAATCTCAATGATATCAGCTATTTCCGAAGCTTGAGCAATCAAAGATTGATGCAATCTCACTTCTGGTCTCCTCATAGGCATCGTTGAAAACCCATCCAATGGGAGGCCGTTGACGGCACGCCGCGCCTAAGCAGGATCTCAATACGCACTTCTCAGCAAACCCACCGTTCAGACCACCTGTGAGAGCGTTGCTAACCCACATCTACATCCCCTGTAACCCCAGCTAACCTGCGAACTAACCCCTCCTTTCAGGCCCGATCACCGGCACGCTCCGCCTGGCCAAGATCCCGAACAACAAGAACACTTTTCAGCAAACCCACCGTTCAAACCACCGCTGGGAGCGTTGTAAACCCGCGTCTTAATCCCCTGTAACCCTCAGCTAACCCATAAGCTAACCCCTCCTTTCAGGCCCCGTCACCGGCACGCTCCGCCTGGCGAAGATCCCCAACAACAAGAACACGCAGTTCTGCTTCAACGAGATCTACCGCAAGTCCAACACGAGCTACGTGACGTCACTGTACGACTCGCACAGGTGGCGCTACCCCATTGGCGGGCAGCTCAACGTGACCGTCCTCGGCACGGGCCTCGCGGGCGCGTACATTTACTTCAAGTGGAACGTGGCGGTGAGCCGACAATCTAGTTTCGGTCTTTCCAATAATCAGAGGTTTGCGTTTTGAGTGCAAAAGATGTGCGATTGCAATTCTATGCTGACCGATGGAATCGACACGCTTGATAGGTAGAGCGGTAGGTGAAAGCGAAGAAAAGTGCGGTCTGCAAGGACACGGCGATCTACTTACTCCAGACTCCATACTGTTTGATTCCTTCATAAGTCCACAAGGTTTCCTTCCTATGTAGCTTAATCTTGCGCTCTAAGGGTTTTCCTGGAGCTCGATGCGCGTACTCCGGGTGCTGACCCAAGAGTCAACCCTGTCACCTTACTGCTAGCAGCGCCTCTCTACAGGGCATTTTAATGGCCTTCCGCATATTCTCTTGCATTTACAGCCCCCTCGCACGGTTCTCACCAGAGGGCTCATCATCGAACTTCCGAAATGAAAACCCAACTCTTACGTTCCAATAACTGAACCCCGACTCCTGAGCCCTGACCCTGGAAACCGCGAAACCAAACCCGGAAACGTCGACCCTAGATCCCAAACCCAGAACCCTTAACCTGAAACTGTTGCTTCCAGGCGGAGGGCGCGGACGCGGCCAACACCAAAACCCTGACCCAACATCCTTAACCGCTGAATCCTGAATTTCAAACCCCAAAATTGTTGCTTCCAGGCCGAGGGCGCGGGCGCGACCAACAGTCAGACATTCAAGTTCGCCAACGGTACGGTCGCCAATGTGACCATTCCCATGCTGCACTTTGGCTTCCCGCACCACCAGGACACCATCGTTAACGCCACGACCTCGAGTTTCCGCCTCACTAACCTCGCCATGATGAGCCCGACCAAGGTGAGGTTAAGCTGCTTAACCGGATTTTATGGGACCCGTTCCGAACCAGGCTCTCTGGCTTGAACTTGTTAGACCGTTTAGACTCGTTTCGCTTTTCGTTAATGTTGAAGCTACGATTCCGCTTCACTAATCTCGCCATGAGGGGCGCGACCAAGGTGAGGCTAAGCCGCTTAGTCGAATTTCGTGGGACCCGTTCAGAGCCAGGATCTCTGGCTTCAACTTGTTTGACCGTCCTGACGCGCTCCACTTTTTGCTAGCGTTGAAGCTACGACCAATCAAAACTCTTGGCAGGAATCAGTGCGAACTTTGTCATATTTCGAGTTAGAAGCTTTCTAGGTGGAATTGCGCAATCTGGCCGAGTCGACTGCATCCCGACTGTGGCACGTTCCGGAATGACTGATACACTAAATTAGACGTACTGCGCGGTACGGCCAACCTCAAAGCATTCCAACCCGTGACAAGTTTCAGACCCTTTTCTAAAACTCGTTTTGTTGTGGCAGGGCATGATGCAAGCGTTCGAGGGCGATCGGTGGATCTTGCGCGAGGGGGACACGGGGACCATTACGTGGACTCCGCCCAACGCCATGCAAACCGACAAGGTAGGTTTAACTCTTAACCCAGGAATCTTTCGGCGAAAGTGTGCGTCTAGTGTGTCTATGACATGCTCAAACATCAATCCTCTGCTCTCATGCTTCAATGCCTCTGTGGAATTTTCCAGAATGGGCAGACTGGAAATAGGCGATCGAAGTTCCCCGGAAGATTTTTTAAAAGATTTTTTTCCAAAGATTGTCTCACGAACTTTCCTTTTCCGCTGACTTCTTTGAAAATGAGAATCTGGTTTGAACGGGTTAACTTTAACCCACGCAGTACGACGGCGTGGTGGCCGCTCTGATCGACGATTTGGCGCTCGACTTCTCGGCGACGACCGGCAATCAGTCGTCCAACTACGAGCTCGGGCGGCAGCTCCAGAAATACGCGATGCTCTGCCAGGTACACTATAGCCGTCTCTCATCCCCCACACTCGGTTTCTACTGCTTTTTGCCCTTCTCCTGACAGAGCAGGAGCAGCTCCTGCTCCGACTTTTGCCGGATACCAGGATCTTTATGAATGTACTCAAAAACAATCAGAGGAGGAGACTCGTCGCGCACCTGTTCTCACCTTTCTTGGTTGCTGTGTTTCATATTGCCCACGAAAAATGTTTCCTTGACATATACAAACAGCCTCGTAATTATGGCTAGTCTCATCCCTTCTGGTTCTCACAGCACGCTAGCAACCTCCAGCTGGACCACCCTTGAAACCCCGCGAACTCAAACCCGGTCTAAACCTCCGCTGACGTTCTGCACGCAGGCCGCGGACGTGGTGGGCGTCAGCAACAAGGACTGCATCACGAAGCTGACGTCAGCGATGGCCAACTTCGTGAAGAACAAGCAGCTGACGCCTCTCAACTACGACGCCACCTGGGGGGGCCTCGTCTCGTCCAGCGACATCAAGGGCAACACCGTGAGCCGCGCGGTCGCCGAACATTAGCATGCCTTGTAGATTGTGCTATGGGAAAATGTTTGGTGAAAGAAACTGAATCGTGAAGGATGGAAAGAGCTGGGTCAGGTGCGGCCAAGACTCACCGTAGCATGTGCAGCCAGAAAAGGAAGAGGAGGAAGGGCCAATTTCGTTGATCCGGAGAAGCTTGGGCCTTAGCTTAACAGTCTCAAACTTTTGAAGTCCTTATATTTGCCAAGTAGACGACATCCAGCAGAACGTCAGCATTCACTTGGTTGCCAAAAGAAAATAATCGTTTTTGACCTCCCGTTTCGGCCACGTGTTAAAACTACTGCATCGTTACGCCACCTTTCCGACCCGCCATTTGAGGTTGCCAGGGCAAACTCCTTACCCCAATTTCGTCTTAACCCAATCTCTGAGGGCAACCTGACCGGCAACGGCAACAACTACGTGCCCGTGTATACGCGGGCTTCGTCTTTCTAACGCACCTCCTTGACCCTTCTTTTGCAGGGTAACCTGACCGACAACGGCAACACGTACTACAACTACCACCACTACAACTACGGCCCGTTCATTTACGCGGCCGCGGTTCTGCGCTATTACTCCAGCACGTGGGGAACGACCAACGGCGCTTTCATTGAGGAGCTCATACGCGATGTGGCCAACCCATCGGCGCTCGACACGTATTACCCGACGTTCCGCAGCTTTGACTGGTTCCACGGGCACAACTGGGGGAAGGGCCTCGTGGACACGTCAGCAAACGGGCGGGACGTGCTTTCGGTGAGTCGTAATGTGACGTCAGCGGGGAAGAAAGTATGAGCATGAGGAGTACGGAATGGCTGAGCGGAGAAAGTTGCTCTTGCTTGGAGTACAGAAAAGCAGCCACAGCTATCTGATGGATATTTAGTCAGCTCTACCAAGCGAGCTTGTTGCACAGGTGGCAGAAGAGATCAATTTCGCGTATGTTATGGAACTGTTCAGATCAGTGGCCAGCAAAACGATTGTCTGCTCAACCGATAAACCCAATGATTGAACCCCTTGAACTTATATTTGACCACGCCTAAACTCCGCTAAACCCTGCGCAGGTCGCCGAGGAGATCAACTTCGCGCACGCGGTGCGGCTGTACGTACTGTTTCAGCACTCAGAATAAGAATCCTCAGTGCCAAGCCCTTAATCTCAGATGTTCAAGCCTTAAACCTCTTGAACCCTGCACAGGTTGCGGAGGAGATCAACTTCGCGCACGCGGTGCGGCTGTACGGGCTCGCCTCCAGCAAGCAGAACATCCAGAACCTGGGCATGGCGCTCTTCGCGGTCTCGCGGCGCACCGCGCGGCGCTACTTCCTTATCAACAAGGCCCAGAACGCGTGCCCCTACAAGTACCGCGATAACAAGGTGGCGGGGATTGCCACCGAGGGACAGGTCAGAGCCGAACTGTTCGGTTTTTGCCCGGTGATAGGGGCCGGTGGAAGCTGGATTCTCTGTTTATTTGGGTGTACCTTGAAGGGGCAAATTGGGTTCCCAGCAAAGAACCGATACTTGTCTATGTTCTGTTGCCCAGTGATAGATGCCGGCGAATGCCGGGGCTGTGTTTTCATAATTTAACGAGTTTGTGGGCTTTTGGTTCTGGGTTGGTGAGAGTGCAGGATGGACCGAATGTAAGTATTGGCCTATTTCTTTCCCTCGTTGACGACCTGTCCCGATGGTAACGGCGTCGACAGCCCGCTTTGCGGCAGGTTGGAACTTTTTCCGGTGACTTTTGAGACCTGTCACAGTCAGGAAGACTCTGCCGAAGACCACCCTTGATGGGCACTGATTCTTTTGGAGCGTGCCTCGCGTGGCTCGAGAATCTTCACCAGATTCTCACTGTTTCGAAGAAGTTTCTTCACCAGATTTTTAAGCCTTTTCCCTTGTTTCCATGTCAAATCATCAAGTGACCGTTTGGCCGCGTCACACGAAGTTGATCTTTTTTCAACGCGGAGCCGGATTGGATGTCACATCACTTGCAAGTGGAGGAAAGCCAATGACGTAATCCCCACGTCAACTCTCCCCGCTCTGGCGCTAACCGTCTGGACGGTCTGCTTCCAACCTGCCCTGACGTAAATCGGTTGGCATCTCGCTTTCGCTGACGTCATCACGCCTGCTTTTCAGGTGACGTACGCCACGTATGCGGACAACTCGACGGAGGCAATCCACGGACAGCACATGCGTCCGATGATCCTTCCCATGGAGATCGTACGGTTCCCGGACTTCGTGCTCGAGGAGTGGACGATGCGCCTCCAGGACTACGCGCCCTTCGTGAGTTTTTCTCCCCTCTAGTTTCTGTTGAAGAACTTTGGATTTACGCGCCCTTTGTAAATTCCCTCCCCCGCTGGTTTTTCTGAGACATTTCATGTTGCCGAGTATAAGTCGAAGACCCATCTGTGAAACAGAGTCCAAGGGCGCCCTGCCAGTTCGTTCGCAAAACGGCGAACGTTTGACGAAGCTCGGCCTGTGACTACTTTTGCGCACCAATTGCAAGGAGGTACTAGGAAACAACACTCAAAAGGTGATTTGGTGGCGGACACATCCAATCACGACCCAAAGGATGCGGCTCATACTCGCTTGGATCTGCTCACAGGACTGCAAAACCTGTGACTAGGCGTTCCGATCAAGTCCAAATCTGAGTTTCGGAACCGGACAATCAAAATCTGGGGTTTGCTGAGCTTCTCGATGTCTCAAATTGAGCCCAAAAGGTCCACTGAACGGCTCTCTGATACATACGGTCGAATTCTGCGTCTCGCATCTCGGTCGCGCTCATACAAGAAAGGTGTGCACGGCAAAGAGCCCGACCTGCTGCCTTCGCAGTCTCAACCGCATTTCTCTGCGCACCGCCGAACGTCCTCCATGCCAGGAATGATCTGCTCCAGATAATGAGAAGAGCGATCAGCCTTCCTGATTGCTTATCGACTCCTAAGCCGAGACCGCTGCCGTTCGTCCCGTAAAAAACCCCCAAACCCGCGCGCGCGCAGGTCAACAACACGTGGACGAGCGCGCTCTACTCGAACCTGGCCATCATCAACGTGACCGCCGCCTGGAGCACGCTGGTTAACCTGCAACCCTACCAAATGGACCCGACAACCACCAAATCCTGGGTGCTTTTCTGGGCAGCGACCCGGCCGGAACCCAAGTTGGTTAACAAACCCAATATTTTCGGGCCCTGGGGGAACAGCACGTGCTACGAACCGGGCCCCAAGGCGAAGATGATCGACTTGTTGATCGTGTTCGGGACGTGCGTCGTGGCCGGGGCGTGCCTCGTGTTCGCGTTCTGCGTGACGCAGAACCCCGGGCGGCGGTCGGGGTACACCAAGCTTTGATAAAATCGTAAAAATTAGAGGAAGAAATAGCATGAAAACGACGATTTTCTCCCCCTGGGGGAGGAGGGGGATCGCTCCGGGAAGAAAGGGAGCGTCGGCCGGGGGACAAACAAGCGCCCAGGGGAACCAGAGGGGAGAATTTTAAAAATCTGCCAAATCTGCCCGGGGCAAACAACCGGGGTGGAGGCCGCGTTGAGGAGTCAGTTGGAATAGGCTGAGGGTTTAAGCTGAGCATGTTCACAATACGACTGCCTGAATATTTCTGATTGAAGTTGATCAAGCAGGGTATGAATTAGATAGCACTGTAGGACGAAGTTGTAAGTACTACCAACTCTCGCACGCAAACTGCAGAAGAATATACGTATCATTCTTTGACAAGGTGTTTGATCTCAAGCGTTATGATTTCAAAAGTACCTCGGATGGATTGTTTCAGTACGTACGTCGAGGGAACCGAGTCTAATACCGTTGAGTCTAATACCTCACGTAAGAGCCGTGATTGCAATCCGCTTTATGACATGATGATAAATTGTGCTTGATGATGTACGTTAAACCGCAAGAGTCAATCAAGTCGAGATTTTGACTTGCAAATGATAGGTATCCCGACTGCGTCACCATGTCACGTGCACCACTGTGTCCCCGCATATGTCTGCGCACACAAGACACGTCCGTCCAAGTGATTGCATACTTTTAAGTTTCTCAGTGGCATGGTCACGTACGACTACGCGTATATTTGAAGAGAGGCTGCCGTCACTAACGTATCTCCGCGTGCATTGTGATAGACTCATAATGCCAATGCGCATATGTTGTATACGCCCAGCTCCTTTCACACATCAAGTTTCGCCATGAAAGTTTACTAAGTTTTGTGTGTAGGTAAGTGTTAGTGCATGAGGTACTATAGACAATACTCCGATATATTACTCTCGTGGCACCTAAGTGCCGCGTGATCTAAGATGTGCACCCGGGGGACGGGTGGGGATGGCATGGTGATTAGGCTGGGGTGGGGTGCGGAGCGGGTGATTAGGTATCTGGGTTCGGTTTTTGGTTGGAGGTGCCCGGGTAACTCGTATCTTAGGCCTCACACGAGAGTAATTACCGATATCTATACAATGCTGGCGCTGCATGTCAGAGTAATACATGTGATTTGCATGCGAATTATTAAGATATCTACGACAATCTATTAAGCGGGTCGCAAAAGCATATCTATAAAACCGACACATGCATAGATGTTCTGCATGAGGTTTAGACTAGGTGGCAGAATTGACACCTATGGTGAACCAACGGTTCCGACCATTCCACAAATCCGTGCAGTTACGATACAACTCGTTCTAATCATGCTGTTTGAGAATATAGGAATGTCCTAGGCCCGAAATAACCGAGTATTAGGCAATCCATTCTTGTAACTAAAGTCTAGACTCGTTTCAACCTTGCATAGCTCTGAATTCGAGAGGAGAAGAGAAGACGACAACGAATGTGATGCAAACAAACGGCAAAGCATTTTGGCAACCCCTCTTTGACCAACCGGGATCACCCCTTGCAATGAGCGCAAACGACATGTTTTGCAATCAAGACAGAGGGTAATCGCGGTTCGTCAAAGAAGGGGTGCCAAAAAGATGCCGTCTATTATGAAAAATGTTTGTTGTTCCACCTATTGTTCTTGGAAGTCCACGCCCTACTACAAAGTGGTATGCTCTTCTCCTGCGCGCTAGCGAAGCTTTACACGCTACAATCGGCTACTTTGATACACTCGAAAGTAACAAACATCGCCGTTGGTACAAAAACTACCTGTATGATACAACTCGATGGCGCGCGCTGCGGGCTGCGATTGCTGCTAAACACGGATCGCGAGTGAAACTCAACATATTATCCCATATGCAATTTTACAAAATCTCCTAATGCCGCAACTCTATTCAGGACAAAACTGTACAACTGGGATGGCCCACCTTGAAATACATAAGCCCCCGCTTATGCCATCCCCTTATATCGGTCAGGCCGGACCAGCCTACTGTTGAGAGTAGGTCGTATGCACAAAGTCGGGCAGGTTCAACCCCTTGCTGCAGCCCTTCTCAATCTTGGCCACATCAGCATCGCAGCGCTTCTTGTGGCTAACGCACCAGATAGTAGCACGAAGTGCTGTTGCGGCATCTTCCCAGTTACCGTTCTCAGTTTCCTTCAAGAAAGACTGCAAAAAGACAATAAGCAACTCAGCTGACTAATTCAGTAAGAGAAAGTCGGGCAATTGGAAAACAAGTTGATAGAAGCAATCTCTCTAAGTACCCATAGAACTGATGAGCTTGTCAACTCTGCCGAAAGAGAGTGCTATAACTTGAGACAACCCACGTTGTCAGCAACCACTCCCCACAGGACTGCCTGTACCCATTGAGTCGACCTGTCTAAATGAGTTCGATCCTTGAATCTGAATTGGAATTGTTACCTGCATTAACGCCACACATAAGCATAGATTGCACCACTAAATCAGCGTGTCTGCTCAGAGCAAAAAGATTTTGCCTGCCAAAATCTTACAGGACGCAACTTGTGATGAACACTTTAGGATTTTACAGTTTGGAAAATACAGGTCGAAATGCCACTTATGGTTAGAACCTCTAGGATAAAAGGCAGGTTGCAGTATGCTCTGACTGCTCAATGCCAACACAATGCCAAATACCAAACCACCAATCTGAGTATAACCCAGTCTAGGAGCCATAATCTGCTACAACCAACAAGAAGGCTCTGCGTGTTCAAGACTTGGAGCTAAACCAAAATTAACCCAAGCAGATGTACTTCAAACTCAAGAAACATGCGAGGAAGCCTTACGTCAGAGTCATCAAGCCCCTTCTGGCCCATAGACCAGTCTAGGTCAGCCAGAACTGCTTGAATGTCGCAGCAGAGATCGTCCAGCTTATGGACTGTCTCAGCAACCTCGTCCAGCCTGTAAAGACAGTCTTCAATAAGTAACTCAATCACCATCACAAGCAGGATTACTCACAAATGGACCCAGACTTTGCATGGCCAGATTTATCCATCCTCCGGAGACTACAGGTAACCCAATCATGAGAGAAGCAGTGATTGTCAGTCCCACACAAACAACGGCTCACCCAATCCTGCATAACGTAGTCCTTAATCCTGCATAACGTAATCCTTAATCCTACAACAAACAAGGAGGAACCCAGTCTTGGGTCTTGCACCAACCTTGGCTAACCGAAGACTGACAATCCACCTTGCAACTACACCACTGGTTGCTACATGGCTTTGGGGACCCTTAAAAGGGGCCAAATCCTGACAGGCGCCATGGTCAACAACAACAACCTTTGTCAATCGTTACCAGTGCCTAAGACCAACAAGCAGACTCCAGGCACAGCCACAAAGAGAAGCATACACGTATCAAGTTGGAACCACAATCTTACTTGCGCTTTGTGTCAGCAAGTAGGAGGGCGCTAATCTGTACATCGTTAAGGCACTGCTCGCCCTTGAGAACCTTCTCATAGTCCGCCAGAACCGTCTTCAACTCGCTCTTTCTTGCTGAGCGGTCGTCTTCAAGGTTGTAGTTCACACCAATCTGCAGCAGAGAAAACCCACTGCGCTAAGGATATACATCATGTTGAATTCCACCTCATAGACCATGCAATTTGAAGGTTGGCCAGCCTTGCAGGGGTTTGAGTATCTAATATGAGACAGTCTGAATTGCTGGAGCAGATCACTCAATTCTGACCTTAGGGCTCACTCAAAATTGCTCCAGAACATAGTAGATAAGCTGCGACAAGAAAGCCCAGAGGTTTCAGACTTACAGTTCTGTCACATCTGTAAGAAAGAGCAGTAATTGCCTTTGTGACCACCACCCAACAATTGATAGCCAGTCAACTCCTGTACGAGCCTGGCTGGTTATACCCCCCATGATCTATTCATAAGGACCCCTGATGGTCTGCATGCACCCACTTCTGGTAAATATGCTATCAACATCTGCTTACAACTCTGATGCTAGAGCAAGTAATCCAAACTAGCTCATCAACCCCTTGCTTACAGATCGTCACCCTTTCTGATGACCTCAGACAGAGGAGAGGTTGAGCACAGCTCTCCCATGCACGGAAGTCTCAGCTGGACCCTTTTGCAACAACAATAACATGAAGGAAAGGCTGCATCAAACATAGATGGCTTGGATCAGAAACTCACTGCCTTATCGCCCTGCTCGTTCTCATACACACAACGATGCCTTCCCTCATGCTTCTCCACCCAGGAAGACACTGTGGGGATGCACAGGGACCTTGGCATCATCCATGAAGGCAAGTTTGACACGAGGTTGTCCACTGCACCACGGGCCAGACTGCGAGCCCCATAAGCTGGAGCTGCCTGTGAGAGCAGAAACAAGGCCAAAAGGACGAGCCCAAGCGACTTCATTGGAGGAGACGCCATTGAGGGATAGGAATTGCTAACAAAGAGGTGGAAGAAGGAGCGCCAATTCTAGGAAGATATCTTTTGGAAGTGACTGGTAGGTGCAATGAGCAGTTGCTCTCGAAAGCAGTTCCGAGGTGGACTTGCTGAATGAATTGAGACGGGCAAACAGATCCGATATGATGGATCTGTTCCGAGGTTTAATCTGGATATCGACTGGAGAGCTGCGGCCGCCCATGCTTTCCGGCACGGCGTGTGTGCGACGTGCGTGCTGTCACGGAGCCGCAGCCGCCAGCATGATTGACATTTAATGCATTTGAACACACCTGGCAGCCGTTGTCGAGTTGCAGCCCGCCAACAAACACACACCACGAGTACGGATAAGGCCGAAGGTGACAGGTGGATAAGCAAAGGGCCGTTCATCTCCACCGCTTTCATCATGCTGACGCGGTGTGGTGATTCATCTGAAACATCAATCATTGACTGTGGTCAAGGCCCCCTGAACTTTTCAAAAAGCGATGATTCAGCACAAAGTGGTGGCAGACCTCATTGCGCCACGTGTAAAAGTGGAAAACAGCTCAACGAACGCTTTTTCCGATATTTGCGGTTTGCTTGAACTAGTAGCGGTGGTGTTCTACGTTGCGCGATAAAGGTTTTGACGAGTCTTATAAGTTTACTGTAATATTTGTCCTTGTGCTGTCCCTGTTCTAGTTGTGTCTTGCTTAGATCTGTCTACTCAGTAGCTCACAAGATTTCACGTGGGAATGAACACCGTTGAAAGGAAAATTGCGAACAGGAAAGACGGTCGCAACCGCATTGCAATTTGCATTGGCTTTCTGCTGCTACCAGGCTCGATCTCCTTCGCACAAGGTAAGTGTGTATCGTTTGACTGGATCAACTTGCTAATGTTGCGACATCGGTCCCAGCATTGTCTCCTGAAAGCAATGCCTTACAATTTGCGGCTGTTCGAACCAGAATCCACGATTCGTCATGCTGTTGAGTACTTGCTGAGGTGGTCAGATTAAGCAGCTTCGTGTCCATCGCGTATACCCGGGCGCTTCTACTTTTGTGAGGGTGGCTTGAAGATCTCTCAAATGTGGACCTTTCACAGATAGATCTGATTGGAATGATCCTGCATTCTATCTTCTGATCTGATCAGGAAAGTGTTGTCCATACCACCTGCTGCATCAGAGGGCGGAGTCAATGTGTTCAATAATGTGCTTCCATTTTCCTGATCTTCCTTGGTGATGCATGAACTGCAGTCGGCTCAACTCTTGTATTCGCATATTTCTGGATGCGAACCTTGATCATAATGCCTCAAAATCTTATGCCCAAGGAGAACAAGACTTCAAGTTCTTGCCCAGAATGCTGCTTCGCTGGTCAGGACATTGTTGGTTTCCAACATATGTGGCTGTCACCAGCAGTGCCTAACAGGCACTCGCAACTGCTTTCCTCCGTATGCTGGGTCCTACTTAGACAAGCTCACATCACCAACTTTTGCCTCGGCAATCCATCAAGCCCCTGCTCTTGCGCACCTCTTTGCGGTCGCAGCCTTTTCTGTGTCAAAATTCTACAAAAATCCAGGATCATACCCGGTGAAATCTCAACGGGGTCCTCCACCGTCCTTCATACATGAAAGTGTTTCGTAGTCTGTACACTTGTCGACGCAATTGCGCCGCTTTCACTTGAAGAACCTTCTCTAAATCCAAGATAGCTCGTGAGTAAAATGTTCATCGAGTATCATGCACTCATGATGCCGTTCAATTGGCTTCATGGCTAATTCCGCTTGGCCTTGAACCTGTAGCCATCACGTTGGACTTTTGCCTGGCCACTGCATTTGATCCACGTCATTCCTTATGCTGACAGATGGAATCATCGCGAGCCTCTTGTCTGTTCTTCCCCCTCAGAGATCTTGCTTCACGAAGCTTTGGAAGTAGTTATGCAATCCTTATCAGCAACTTCCACTAGGGCAAAAACCACTCCCACATACCTACTATTGTCACTGCAAGTGGCACCTGGCAGGTTTGCAGCTCTCACCCCGAAACTAAACGGTCAGGGCCTTATTCTGTTTCGTCTGCAGGGTTTTCCTGGAGCTTTGCCGTTCAGCTAGGGTGTCACACATGCACCAGTTTCGACAGCCCGAACCTCGCATTCCTCAGTTTCCAAAGGAAAAAGATTGATTCCGCGGGAGAAGTCAGAGTGGGACTTTCTCTGGTACACATTTTGCGTTTTCTGTACAGGCACCGTCTAGCATACTCTCGGAGCCCTGTCCAGCCGCCAGATGGCGACCACCGCCGCCGCCAGCAGGGCGTCCCTCAGCTCCTGCTGTCGACTGTCCCGCTCAACCGGAGTCGCGGCAGGCCACTCGTTCAGGGGGGTCCAGCTTCCTGCTGTGAGCCCTGCAAAGTCGGCTCAGGGGGGAAGGAGCCATGGCATCCGGGCCGTGGCGGCTGCTGAGGTGGCGAAGTCGACGAGCGTTGCTTCCGATCGCATCAAGTGAGACAATATCTCGAAGGCACCATGACAAAACAGTAATCATTGAGGGCTCTGTTCAATTGTTCAGAATTTTTTTTTTTTTAGGAGGGCTGCGTGGAGTCTGACTTCAGGAATACGCACTTTAGGGAAGCCGTTTTTCGCACGGCTGACCTCCCTGAACGCCCGTTGAGTTTGCGCGCTGGGGCAATGAAAGCTTTGGACCAGTTTACGTGGGTCTCCTCGTTCCAAAACATGTTGCTCAAAAGAGGTCTCCACAATCCAGTGCTGAAGCGATTGCAAGCTTGTTTCGAACCTTCACCCTCGAGCAGACTTCCCGCCATTTTCTTGCTCTCCTTCTGGACCTAAAGATTGCTACACACTGCACACGGGCTCTCTGCTGCCTCCCTCTTTGTGCCAATACCAACATATTCTAACCAACCTAATACATACTTCCACCCCCGCAGGTCCGTCCACGCCCGTCAGATCATCGACAGCCGCGGCAATCCGACGGTCGAGGTCGACCTGCAGACGGACCAGCTTTTCCGGGCCGCCGTTCCGAGCGGTGCGTCCACGGGTATCTACGAGGCGCTCGAGCTGAGGGACGGGGATAAGAGCTACTATGGCGGGAAGAGCGTGCTCAAGGCGGTGCAGAACATCAACGAGATCATCGCGCCCAAGCTGATCGGGATGAATCCCAGGTGCGTCGGGGTTCATTTTCCTGTCCTAATGTTCGTTCTGTTGAGATTGCTGGTGAAAAAAAAGTTCGAGATCATTGCGTCCAAGCTCGTCAGGATAGATACTAGGTGCACAGCGCCCTATGTTCAAAATCTGCCTTTTGAACCCGTAAACTCTCTCGACGCGGTGCAGAATTGAAGCGAGATCACCACGCCAAGCTCAAGGGAGTGAATCCTAGGTGTTGTAGAGCCGTTGCTTTGCTCCCTTTTTGCACCGCTTTCCTTCTCTTTCGTTCACTTCTGAAAAGGCTCTTGTTCTTATCATCCGCATCTGAAAAGGCCTTGTAAAAATTTCTTTTAAATTGTTCTCAACAACGTTTGAGGAGTGGCGCAGTGCGGTCTATCTTTTTCCTCCTCCAAAGACATGAAGAGGTTCTCAGACCGTTCAAGGACGAGGATCAAAGTCGAGACTAAGCTTATAGCCTTTTCGAGAAGAACCATAGCCAGACGGTGACAACCAATCAATCCGAGAGAGGGTGGAAGCTTGCACCCTGCCATTTGCCCTGCGCCTTTGGGTCGCTGGATATCCATGTCACCTACCCAGTCTTTTTTGGATTTTCTAGAACGGTGTCAACCCGAGCTTCGAGTAATTACACGGACCTCCATTTTGTGCAGCGACCAGAAGGCGCTTGACAGCGTGCTGTTGGAGCTGGACGGCACCGAGAACAAGACCAAGCTGGGGGCCAACGCGATCCTGGGCGTATCCCTGGCAGCCACGCGGGCGGGCGCGGCCGCCAAGGGGATCCCCCTCTACAAGCACATTGCAGAGATCGCTGGTGAGGGGTGAAGGTGTCGTCGGAATCAACCCGCCACGTACCGAGGGGCTCTCATGTGCAATGCAGAATGATTTGGGATGAAAGCTCGTGCAACCCGCAGAAAGACTGTTGCATTGCATTCTGGTCTTCGGGCCGTATATCCCTGACCGTTTCAGAGAGGTGGGCAGGATGGGGTGGTTCGATGCGGTCTCCTTAGTACAACGACCGTAGCCGAGGTGTCAGCAAAGAATCGAAAGTCGGATCAGACGGGGCCGCGAGCGCTCTGCATGTAGCTGTTTTGGTGCCGGTCAGCCTAGTACCATTCATGACGAGACTCCATCCAACGGCTAAGCTGGCTGAGCAACCTTGTCGAGGCCAGGCTCCCACCGACTGATGCTCCCACCTGTGTCCTCGTTGCTCAGGAACGACGTGACCCCAGGAGTGCACGTCTTTCTGTGTTGTTGCATCCTACGTGGAGACACGAAGCCGAGTCACACGCCCTGATTGCACGCCTCTACCCAATGACGTCATCGTCTGCTCGAGCTGACGTCATGTCGTCCTCGCAGGCACCAAGGAGCTGGTGATGCCCGTCCCCGCGTTCAACGTCATCAACGGCGGGAGCCACGCGGGCAACAAGCTGGCCATGCAGGAGTTCATGATCCTGCCGATCGGGGCCAAGTCGTTCAAGGAGTCCATGCAGATGGGGTCCGAGGGTACGTCCCAACTCGTCGTACACCGTTTCTTCGCCCTCCGTCATGTATCAACATCGCTCCTATATGCCAAAGCGCTTTCATGTTTGAGGACTTACTTTCTTTGTCGTCTTTCGTTTGAGCTTCCCAACGTTCGTTTCGAGAAGGTTTTTCGTCTCGTTTGCGCTGCAATGGTCCAACGGAAGTGCTTGCTTAAGGCAATAACCTTAGAAACTACTGTACTCAGAACCTTCCGTTATTGAGGCGGCTGCATGCGCCCCAAGATTTTCAAAACTATCTTTAGCCAAGTGTGCTTTGTTCGCCGTGGTTGGTCGGTATGTTATTTGAAGGATGCCCTCCCTGCGATTCGCTCGATTGTCAGGAGCCCAATCACGAACCGCTGCAGTAAGGGCGGCTCCATGTCAGCTTCTACCGAAAACCACGTTCTCTAATGGCAAGCACTCCATATTCAGTACTGGTCCGCAATGAAGCGGCTCCTGGAGGCTCGATAATGACGCGAGACGACTAGAGGGGCCTCCACGCTTGGGCCTCCTGCCAAGGTTCCTTACAGACATTTTCTTTCCCTTCTTGTCGATAGAACCAGATCCTCGATCCTGAGGGACAACCGTTCCTGCTCTGAGAAACGCTTCCGTGCTGCTCCCACTCACGCTACAACTAAACGTCCTTCAGAGTCACGTCCCCAAGTGTTCCAATATAATAAGCGGTCTTCTCCCTTCCCTGCAGTCTACCAGATCCTAAAGAGCCTGATCAAGAAGCGGTACGGGCAGGACGCCGTCAACGTGGGTGACGAGGGCGGTTTCGCGCCCAACATCCAGGACAATCGGGAGGGGCTGGACCTGCTGGTCGGGGCGATCGACAAGGCCGGCTACACTGGCAAGGTACGCCGTTCCGAAATTTGTTGCTGAAAATCTGAAAACTCTCCTTTGTTGCCCGGGGCGTTCTAACTAAACCGGGTGAGCTTCTTGTCCATTTGCAAAAGGCTGCGTGGAGAACCGCTCAAACGTTCCCTCGGCCGGGTCATCCTTTCGGGTGATCACCTGGCCGTTCTGCCGTCGCCGTCCGATAAGCTTGACCACCGTCGGAAAAATCCCCGGGCTGATCGAGAATTGGAGTCTTCGTTGCACTATGGACGGGGCAAGGTACGCGGTCCCCAGGTGTTGCGCCGAGATCTGACACGTTGTGCCTTGAATGATTGGGGCTCGGGGAGAATGGGTGCTTCTTTGGTTCTCGGGGTCTCATGACGCTACGGCAAGGTACGCACGTCCGGCGTCTCTTGCGCGGACTTTGTGATTCTTCGGCGCGGAACTTGATGACTCTTTCTCTTGAAGTATGGCTATTTAAAGTTTGGGAATTGTGCTCGCGTTGAAGGTCGAATACCTTCTTCTTCTGAGGCAGCGTTATCTCAGTCTCTTCAACAAAACCATTGTGAAGCACGTTCCCTCCCCTCAGGTCGTCAACTGCATGGGCGTGGCGGCCTCTGAGGTTTATGCGTCCAACGGGCAAACGCTGGCCCCGTGGTCGCATGTCACTCGTCGTTTCTGCCGTCAGCAGGCGGTGCTACGCTCGTCATCGTCCCCCGCGTTTCGTCACTCACCTCATTCTAAGTGAACATCGTCTCTTTTTTCCGTTTTCGGAAGCCTTCTGAATCTTTTCTCCTTCCCCACAGGTCGTGATCGGCATGGACGTGGCAGCCTCCGAGTTCTACACGTCCGACGGCAAAAGTCTCTCTGACTTTGGCTCCGGAATTACATAGAGATACCGTGTGGTCGCACTTCAATGTCGCTTCTGTTGCCAGCATTTCGTGCTGCGGTCACTACGTCAACCCGTTCGAGTTACTTTCCTTCCTCTCCGACAAGATGTTGTCGCAATCCTCTCACTCAACCGCGCTTTTTTGTCTCTCCACAGGTCGTCATCTGCAACGTTTTTCTTAACCGGAAATCTTGTCTCAATCTTCTTCAATGTACCGCATTGAAAAACTCGTTACCCCTCCTCCCACAGGTCGTCATCGGCATGGACGTGGCGGCCTCCGAGTTTTACACGTCGGACGGCAAGTACGACCTCAACTTCAAGGAGGAGAACAACGACGGCTCCTTCAAGAAGTCGGTCGACGAGATGATCGAGGTCTACACCGGGTTTATCAAAGACTTCCCGGTGGTTACGATCGAGGATCCGTTCGACCAGGACGACTGGAGCGCCTGGGCCAAGATCGTGGCGTCGGCGGGCGTGCAGATTGTGGGCGACGATCTGACGGTCACGAACCCCAAGAAGATCAAGGAGGCGATCGAGAAGAAGGCCGCAAACGCGCTGCTGCTCAAGGTGGGTTGATTAGCTAACCAGGTTTGGTTACAGTGCCTTTCAGGGTTTGGTCACAACCTTAACCATGGTTTAGTCAAGGTCCTAATCTTGGTTTGGTCACCACTGAGAAGAAGCCCGCGGACCCGCTGCTGCTCAACGTGAGCTAATACGTGTACCAAGTCCTGGTTACGGGCCTAACCATGGTGCGGTTATAGTTCTAATCATGGGCTGGTCACAGGTAAAGCATCGCTTGTGTAAAACCCTAATTGGGTCGGTCTAACCTGGGCCACTTTTGCTCGCTCTCTTTTTCGAAGGCGAAACTGGTCACAACGATTTTGGATTCCATTCAGGTGCACTCGACGCCATGCCTGTCGGACGGGGTAGGAAAGACCCAAAACGACGTGAATGCTACTTCCGAAAATCCACATGTTTATGCTCTTCACCTGTGGAACGTGAAGCAGACTGGCTCCACTGCCGAGTCCATTCACATTGTGCTAGATGCTTCTGAAGACTGCTGATCAAAAACAATCACGTAAGTGGTCTCCAATCATCAATCTCAGGGACCTCAGCAATCTTTTCCCTTCTTTACAAGTTAACCAGATTGGCTCCGCGACTGCGTCCATCCAAGCCGCGCTCGACGCCTTGGCTGCCGGGCAGGCGTCAACTTTCACTGTCTTCCTCCGCCCTCACTGATAGCCCTATTTATCATTCCACAGGAAGCCTTAAGCCTTCCCTTGTACTGGGAATCCGGAGCTCAGCTCGTCTCCGGATCTCATCTCTGTCTTCATTTTTCTTTACAGGTGATCCAGATCGGTTCCGTGACTGAGTCCATGTAAGCCGCTCTCGACGCCAAGGCCTCGGGGTGGGCCGTGCAAATCCAATCTTGTTTCTTCTTCCAGCAAGACGGAAGCACTAAAAGTTCCAAGGACAACTGAGTTTTTTGTCGTTTTTCCCCGCGCAGGTGAACCAGATTGGTGGTTCCATCCAAGCCGCGCTCAACGCCAAGGCTACCGGGCAGGCGTCGATTTCCACTATCTTTCTCCATCTTTTTTGCTAAAACGGGTTCCATCCAAAAGGAAGCCTCAAGTTTCCCCCTTTTTAGGAATGCGGAGCTCAGCTCTTCCCGGGAGAGCTCATCTCTTCTCTTCATTTTTCTTTACAGGTGAACCAGATTGGTTCCGTGACTGAGTCCATCCAAGCCGCGCTCGACGCCAAGGCCGCGGGGTGGGGCGTAATGGTCAGCCACCGCAGTGGCGAGACGGAGGACACGTTCATTGCGGACCTGTCCGTGGGGCTCGCCTCCGGACAGATTAAGACCGGCGCGCCCTGCCGAAGCGAGCGGCTCGCCAAGTACAACCAGGTGAGGACACGTGGCGGTCGAGCATTGGCTCCGGCGCTTGCGTGGAGTTGCGGCAGCTGAAGCGTTGAAGCAGATGTTTTTCTGGATAGGGTGCGCACCGCAAATGAGGTCTGCCGAGGGTGTGCGTAGAAAGGGCTTGTTGGTAACGAGTGCGTGGTGATAAGCAATGATTGCAGAAGCTCTGAGGCCAGTCTCTGCCGCGGTCTGGCGCTGCGAATTGCTGAGCGACTTTTCGTTTGCACAAACTCGTCCTACCAGAACGGAGTCAGGTTGAAAGCTTGTGAGCTTCCAGCTCAGGAATCAACATTCCTCTCATAGGCTTGTTTCCTGGTGGTATGGCGCCCGCAGCTTTATACGCAGAGAATAATCTGGGCAGAGCGAGCTTTTCAAAGCCAACCGGGCGACAAGGCATTATCACCATCTGACTCCACAGTACCCTCTTCATCATCGGTTTTAAATCAGCAGACGGTTCGAAGTCACTTACTCCGTATTGTGACCCCGTCTAAAGACCTGGCCTTCGCTCTTGATTCCCCGTTTTGACAAGCTTCCGTCGGTTCTCTTTCGCAGCTGCTCCGCATTGAGGAGGAGCTTGGCGGCGAAGGCGCCGTGCGGTATGCAGGAGCGGACTACCGGAGGCCTTAAGCGACCCCGTTCGCAATTGTGCGAGTTGCATTCTTTGATGCCCGTTGTGTGTATGTGGCGTCAACAAGTCGGTCTAAATGTTCTAGTAATCTGCTATGTCTGCGCCCACAATTCGAAGCTACTGGTGACTTCATATTAAAGCATTTGTTAGGTATCCAAGTGGCATCGTTTGTACAGGCTGCCGCGTAGTCAAAAAGCAGTGGATGTCACTGGAGGCCAGTCGGTCAGAGTTGGAGCACCCCCTAATACCACGTAATAGTTGTCAACCTAAAGGTTGGCACATGCATTCACATCCGACGCTGATTAAAGCTTTTATACAGGATACTTCTTGAAATACATCTGCTTTGGAAGGTGCAATGCTTGTGCATGTATACCCAATCCACAGCATAAGTTGTGCCTTGTGAGCTCGGCATGCATGGCCACAGGCATCGTGACATGGTTTTTCTGGTTTCACGTGCATGATGCAGCCTAGCTCGACCGGTTGTCACCTGTGACCAGCCCGGGACCGCGGCAAATATTGAGCCTAGGAAATGGTGTCTGTCTCTTGCAACCGTTGTCGCGATCATCCGGATCGAACGGCCAGTTGCTAAATTTTGGGTAAGTGCAGCCTCACCATGCATGCATGCGACACATGGTTGAGTCCTGGCTTGTGTGCTGTCATGCGATACAAGCTCGGCCGGTATTTGATTAGGCTCGGTACCCATAGCGGGACATGTGTGTCGCGGCAAAAGCGTCAAAATTAAACATGATGCGAGTAGATCATGCATGGAGTTCATAAGATCATTCATCAATAGTATCATTATTTTGGCTCGACGAGGCTTACATGAGAGTCGATCAGGCGTGACACCATGAGCGTACAAACTTGCATATGTTGCTGGACACTTGGATCGATGCACCGCCTATATCAGCAAAGTTGGCGCGGGCGCGCTTGCCAAACGCGCCGGGCTTGACAACAATACTTCGAAGAGTTGCACAGTGCCCGTCGCATGGGGACCTAGCTGTACGTAGACGTTGAGCATTTTGACACGAGCAGAGAGTACTGGATTCTACACCCGCGAGGCCCGTCTATGAAGAAGGAACGCATGAACGCACGACAACACAGCCTGCAGTCTGATGGCTTGACAGTCAAATATCAAAACGGCCGCCACGGTGTCACGGTCTATGGAGCATTGCCATTGTATCCCGGGGCCCCATTGCTCTCTCCGTTGACACTAGCTTGCCCCGCTGCTGTTATGGCGTGCGTGGCGTTGTTAGGCGCGGCCGGCTCCGCGCGCGGCGGCATCTGCTGCGCGGCCGGCTCCTGCATGACGCGGTCGCGCCGCCTTGCCGCGTCGGCCGTCTGTGCGGTCGGAGACAGCTCCTGCAGTCCAGTATATCATTCTTCAAGTCACGCGTTTCCATTTTTTCCTTAAATCTCGAATTGTTTGTCAGTGGAGCACGCAGCACGTCTTCGTATCACCAAGACAGCAACCGGTCACTTCCTGGTCAAGACTTAGCATACAAAAGGGATTGGTCGATTGCTTGGCGCCATAATCTTACAAAACTCGTAGTCTTCTCATGCTGGGAGAAAGCCACTGCCACTCTCTGACGGGCGTGTCCTGACACGTGGCAGGCTCGGACCCTTCTTGCAATCTGATAAAGTACTCTGTTCACATCAGAAGTTACCGCATGCCACTCCGTTTCGTGCTTTCAAAGGAGGAAGCTTCAAACTTTCCAGACGCGCTTCTCGCATTTATGAAATGATAGCAAGGAGCTAACTCTGTTTTCGCTCTCAACAGATGGCCCGAGGCGAACAGAGCCGGCTTCTGAACGTAAGATCGAGGCGGTTATCTGCTGAGTGACGTCATTTGCTCCCGACAGAAGCTGGTTTATTGATATGTACACGGACGGGTTGGGACGATTCCGTTGTTCACCTTCATTTGTTAAGAGGAAACCGCGCTAACCAGCCGACAGGAGCCGAGCACACGACAGAAGCAGCATGGCAGCAGAGATGAAGAAAAACAGAGGGAAAGGACGGAATTTTCTACCCAATACACCTATGAAAAGCATCGTACGTCACAGAAAGATAATGATAGCGTATGAGCCGTCGACTCACCGCGCGTGGTGACGTCATTGCTCCGGATGCCGTCATCCTCCGCGAGCCCGCGCGCAGCACGCGCACCCTGGGCAGGCTGATTTGGGGCAGGTCCATACCCGACGAGAAGATCGGATGCCTAGCGGAACCGGAAGCGGAATCTGAAGTGTCGCCGGAAGCGTCCGGGGCGGCGTCGAGACTGTGTGACGCGAGTGATCCAACGGTTGTCTGTGCTGCTACGTCATCCTCCAGGACCGCCGTCTCGTCGACGTCTGGCAGTCGGGGGCTGCCCGGGGAGTCACCGAGAGGAGACGCTGTGAAGGGGAAAGTTTGGGTTTGGAAGTTGGAAGTTGGGGTCTGGGTTTGGGGTTTGGGTTGGGTTTGGGGTTTGGGGTTTGCAGTTTGGGGTTTGCGGTTTGAGTTTGGGTATGGGGTTTTAATGTTTGGGTACACTCGAAAGTCGAAAAATTGTCGTGGGCTTCCGGAAAACATCAAGTACCGTACATACCACCAACTTGGGTGCATCCATGATCTTAGTTGAAACGGACGGGCAGCGTCTGACATGAAGATGTCACATGGCGAAGCGATCGCCTTTCTCGGCAATGCAAAGCTTTGAACATTCCAAAGCGCCTTCTTCCAGATCTTCAAAATCAAACATAACCCTTTAGATCAATCTCTTAACCCCAAATTATTACCTCCCAAGCTGTCCCTGCCGCTGAACGGCGACGACTGCGCGCTGAAGGGCGACCGCGCGCGCGCGGGCGTGCTCGGACGGGTCGCCGTCCGAAAGACCGGCGAGACCACCCGTCCGGACACCGTTCGGACGATCTTCAAACCGCGCTCCAGAAGTTTGCCGTTGATCAGCTCGTTCTCGCGCTTCAGCCGTTGGATCTCCGCGTCTTTCTCGGCCGCGAGGCGCCCTGCGTTTTGCGGGGTTTAAGGGTTAGGTTAGGGCGGGGTGGATAAAACTGGGTTTAGAGGTGGGAGCTGCGCGAAGGGCTTATCAACGCCATGGATTGTGAGGCCTGGGAGACAGAGTTGAGTGAGTTTCTATCTGGGCGATTTGAGCAGAAAGAAGAGTTTCAGAATCTCGTTCGATCTCGCCCTCGGATCGCCGCGTCTTTTTCGGCCGCGAGGCGCCCTGCGTTTGCGGGGTTTAGGGGTTAGGTTTGGGCGGGGTTTGATGAGATTCACTTCAGGGTTGGGAGTCTGATCAAATTGGTTAGATGCTACGGCTTGATTTTGGATGGTTCTACTGTTTAGCGGCGCCAGAAGAAGAGTGGCACAAACAGAATCCATGCCAAATGGTTTGATTATAGTTTCAAGGAATCACTTACACAGTCAGGCTCCACTCGCCCCTAACTGCACTTGCTGTAAGGCCAATCGGCCAGTCTGCCCGCGACTTTTGACACTGTCGGGTTGCTTTACCCAACGTTGTTCCGAATAATAGCTCGTGCTTAGATGTTCAAGGATGAACGGTTCTTTCATAAACCCCTTCCGTCTCGAAGAGCCCCTTAGACAAAGCATCGAGGGATTTCACTTACTCTGGTGCTAAGACTCAAGCTTCCAGTGCAGGCATTGTCTCTTCGAAGCGCGTCACTACCAACTCTTTGCCCTGATTTCGGCTAGCGAACACCCCGCAGGAACCAATCCCCGAGGAACTCCAGAATTACCTTCCATCCCCAACGGCATCTTTTGAAAGAAAGCGGAGCACCACTCACTCGCGGCCTCGATCTCCTCGGCGCTTCCCGGCGCCTGTCCACCCTGTCCCGGGGAATCCCCCGGGGGCTTGACCAGGGTTTTCATGTACTTGCGCGCCTTAACCGGGTCGATGGTTAGCACTAAGAAGAACCGGTGGTCGATCAGCCCGGCCTCCCGGTCCTCGCCGTCCATGTGCATTAAAGTCCACACGTGCCCCGCCTGCGCGCGCGCGGCCGCCTCGTTTGCGTCCTTGAGCGCGACCTCGACCTGCCACACCGCGTACTCGCTGCGCGCGCGTACATAAAAAAAGGGTTTTGAATCAAGTTTTTCTAAACTTCCGGCTTCTTCTGGAAACGATTTGGAGGATTTTGCAAAAACAATCAAAATGGTTCTCTGTTCTTATCGGCCGACCAGAAACAAACCGTTCTTGTTGGCTCTCGTTCTTACATCCAAGGGCAGATGACGAAAGCGGACGCTGGGCTTCACTCTTATCGAGGCAATCAGACAAAGCACAGAACTCTGAAAAGGTCGGGCTTACAGATGTCAATCTGTTTTATTTTCTTTTTCTGTACGTTCTACAACTGTAGCGTAGGGGGTTCACAAGAGACGCTCATGCTTGCTTGAGATGATCGAAGTCGAGCCCGCATTCCGCCTGCCAGCACGCAGCTACGTTCTTCAATGCAAGCCACTAGCACAGGCGCCATGCCTAAGATCTCGCGCGAATGAATGCCGTTAGGGTCATCATAAACGGATCGTGACCCGAATGTGGTGGAATCTGCATTAAGTTCAAAAGGGCAAAAGCGGACGCAAGGACTCACGAGAAGACAAAGAGCATGCAGCAGCAGCAGCACGGCCAGAGGCAGTACGCCAGTCCGGTCGAGCAGCAGCCGGGCGTCCACCTGAACGGAACAGCGGAACGGAACGACGTCTGCAGATCCCCAGAGACGCATGTAGGGACTCCGTCCGGAGCTGCTCGGGTTAGTTCAGCGTCATTTGATAACCATACGAGAGTGCATCGGCTGCTTTTTGGCAACCGTCGAAAAAGGCGTTCCGTCGACCGAAGCACTGAATCAGGTACTTTTTAAAAGTCAAGGTCGTAGCTGCAGACAGGCTACAGAGACCACACGGAAAACGGGACTCTAAAGTCCTTCCTTTGGTTCATACAAATTTCAGAGTTCAGTAGGAGGTTGATTGACCTCTCAGTTTCTGAGTAGAAATTATAAGGGTGTAAACCAAGGGATTTAGTTGCGCTTACTTAATCTGGTCAAAGCAATCAACCCAGTTCCGGCAAGCAGAAGTACGACACAAGATGTATTTCCACTCTTGTTTCCGTCAATGAGACAGAGGCACAAAGCAGGTAATAGATAACGCCAAGTGCCGGGGCTCACGTTCTGATCGCTTTGTTGACCCTGACGAGGGTGTCGTGAAAACTGTCCGCAGCCATGAACTCTTCTAGGGACTCCCGCGAGAAGACGTCCTCCGGATCAAACGCGCCGCTCCCACCTCCACAACAACACTCTGCGCAACAAGACTCGACCGACATTGGTTAAATTAAGCGCCTTTGTCTATGAATTTGACATCTTCAAAGATTTCAGGGGTTGTGGGTTCTGGAATAGACTCGACCGAGACTGCTGGAATAGACTCGACCGAGACTACTTAACCAAGCGCCTTAATCTATGAACTCGATATTTTCAGAGAGAGTAGGGGTTGTGGGTTGTGGATTAGAGGAGGACAGCGCCGATTTCCAAGTGGCGTTGGCAAGACCCTGGCTGAGCAACCAACACGGCGGAACAAGCAAGACTCATTGCTCATAGCCAGGCGGGTAATCCTTTGAAAGCAGTTTAAACTCCGACCAGACACAAGAAGTACTTTAAACAAAGTAACCTTAATCATCGTGTCCATGAGGAAAACGCTCATCCGGCATTGTGGATGAGATACTGCTCACCCCCGCAGACCTCACGTGTCCGCTTTCGACTATGTATGGGCTAACAAGAAGTCTATTGTTTGCATTTGTTTACAAGTGACTTGCTTGACGCAGGTACGGTTCCAAGAGCTTTAAAACGTCGTGCCCCTGATCCGGATGTCATCTGTTTGGGACGGACAATCCCGGACTCGATTAAGTCAGTCTTCGGCTACTAGACGCCGCGAGCTATGTACACGAGCTTCTTCGATCTTGAGTGCGAGATCAGCTCCCCAGGTTTGCGCGTCCGAGCTCGTTACAATTCAAAGTCAAATGCATCAAGCTTAATTACAGGCGGCCGCAGAACCACGAAATGGCTGGGGGACGACCAAGAGTTGCAGCGCTGCCGTTCAGATTCTGACGCCAAAAAGATGTCTGTTTGTTTCGGTTAGGCACGGTTTGTCTGAACCTCAGTTGCGGAACCGGTCCTGCCAATCTTTGCGTCCCCCTGCCTAACCTTGCAGACTGAACTCGTCGTGTTCAAATCACACGGTAGCGTTGCTATTTGGACCGGCCGGTAACACTCTCCCACAATCGCCTTCCCCTCACCCGTCCACTTTTTGAACTGCATCACACCAATGAGCGGGCCTTGGATCCGAGATCACCTTCCCCATCCGAGATCGTAACGATCCAAAATCGACACCAAGCTCAAGTTTTTACCACAATCGAAAGCTTTCCCCTCACCCGTCCACTTTTTGAACTGCATCGCAATGATGAGCGGATCCTCATGCTCGTCGACGTCCGCGTCCCGCTCCCGCTGCGCCGCGGCGTCCGCCTCTAGTTTCGCGCGCCCGTCGGACCCGCCGTACTTGAGGACCAAGTCCCGGACGATGAAGCTGGGGTGTACGAACTGGACCGGCTTCCGGCAGGTTGGACAGCTGCGGCGTGACGTCATCGTGAGGTCAGCGCAACAGAAGATAATATCGTAGTGACATCGAATAACGTGACCCGTAGAAGTACGTCCCGTGAAACACCGCAGTTGCAGAGTGACTTTGACAATGGAAGCTCGGGTGTACGAATGAATCAAATCGGCTTCCGGCAGGTCGGTCAGCTACGACGTGACGTCATCTTGAGGTCAGCGCAGGAGCAGATTGAAGGATGTATCGTGCGTAGAACGACGGCGCTCATGAAACAAGGGGAAACAACGGAGCTGCGAGAAAGTGATTTTTTGCAATGCATCTTTCAGGGACGGGAAAAGAGCCAAGAGAAGGGCGAGTTCGACGACACGTGATGGGGACGTTTCTGCTGAAGTTGTGAGAGGGGGGCAGAGGAATTCTTATCAGATGGCGCTGTAATATGCCCTGGCTTTAAATGATATCACTTGCAGACTGCAAGAAACAAGCACTCTGCTCAATCAGGTAACTTTTTCAGAAGTGCGTGGTAAGAAGAAGGCCAGAGACAGTGCAATCCATCGTGGTCTTTGGAGGAAAAAGTTAGGTACAGCACATTTGCATGACCACCTAATCTATGAAGGTGCATGAAGGTGCTTATCTCAAGGTTAGTACAGGAAGTGTCGGTTTCAATGAGCTGGCACTAGCTCTAAGGGAACGTGCTTATCGAAGCTTGAGCTGGCTAACTGCCTTTCACAACCTTGCTCACTCTCCCTTCAATGTTACGACTGATTTTGATGCCTCAATTACTTTACCAAAGAACACATTGGGGTAATGTTGCTGCACGCAGAGAACCTTGCTACCGTTGGACTTTGGACGCTACAGATCTTTGCAAGCACAATGCCGGTTCGAGGTAGAAAGGAAGCTTGAAAATTGAGATGACTAAGTTAGTCGAGTCTGCGACGTACTAGCAACCTGACAATTTTTTCATGCTTCCCCCTCGATGTAGATCGGCAGGTTGCTTGAAAAGAGAGCTGTATCACCTGTGCATTACCCGTATTTCAGCGGTTGTCATTAAACCTGCATTTTGCAAGCAGTTTGGTCAAAATAACGGGGACAAACCTGTTGTCATGCTTGCGTGTCTTGCTCAGGCAGTCTGCGCAGAAGCAGTGCCCGCAGTCGGTTTCCACAGCGTTGTGGAGCAGCCCAAAACAAACGGGGCACTCGAGGAATGCCGTCATCTCTGCGACTTTCTGAAGCTAGGTCGCAGAATTATCAGCTGCGTGTATTTCCTTTCAGCTTAGATTTAGTCCCCGAACAGGGAAGTGCCTAAAAAAGAGCTCAAACAAACATCTGAAAGAAGGACAATGAGCAGAGATCATTATTGGCGACCGGCCCCCATCCGCCACAACCTTTATGATTCACCAAAAACAGGGAAGCTTAGTGAAAGAAGCGCAGGAGCGGTCTGAATGACGCTGGAAGAACCTTCCCTGGGTCTAAATCTGGCATAATAGTCCTGCTGTTCGGCCAGGACTCTGGATGCCTTGACTCTGAGTCACTAAAGCTTGAGTGATCAAAGAGCGGCTGCATGGGGCTATTATTTACACAATCTACAATGAGTAGGAACTATCTCGAGCTTCAGATGGCCAGGGTTTGTGAAGTCTGTGCAGCAATGCAATCCGTGTAATACTCTTGAGTCTTGGTACGTGGTCGACTCCAGCTTGCCCTCAGTTATGTACCGCCGATGGTAACGATTGACCGCGCGCGAGGCTGCTGATCGAACGGCCTGCATGCGCCTCTGATTCAATCGACGGACGTAAGCTGGACGAAAGGACGTACAGATCCACACTCAGCTGAACACCTGGGCCTAGCTCACGGATCAGCATTTGTAGGTGATACCTCCGTAGTAGGTAGACCGCAATCCCCTTGAACTAGTAGGACCGCGATCTCCTGCAGCTGGACAAGCTAGCTATCTGAGGCTTGAGCTGAAAGGCAGCTTGAAACGGAGCCGCAGAGCCAGGCGTATGGACATAGAATCCTCATTCAAGGGAGCAAGTTTTTTGAGAACATCACATGCAATTCTTGTGATCACCTCTTGGATGTCCTGGGTTGCCCCTTTCTCGCCCAGAAGAAAAAGAAACGCTTAAAAGGTGCGTCGCAAAGAATGCCAGAGCTCAGTCCCTGCGCTCCATTGTGATCCCCAACCTGGGGTAGCAGACTGTTTTTATATCAGTAAGGAGTTCCTTACCAGCTCTGAAAAAGTACTCCTAGAAAAGTGGCCACCCTAGGTTGACACCTAGCAAAAGATTGTCTCGAATCTTACCTGCTGCACACATTCCAAGAGCTCTGTGAGCTCCCATTTTGATTCATAGCTTACGAGGGGCGACAACAAGGGATGAGACACAGATAGGCCCTGTGGCGGCACAAGCATGGCGGCTTCTCTGGCCGGCCCCCAGCCAGAGCCGCCGCCGGTACCAAAACGAGGCCTCGACACTCCTTTCTCAGGCAATTCCAATGCCAGCCAGTCCCGGGAGGGGGCCCCTAGCACAGCCACAGCGGCCCCCCTGCTAAGAGCGCATCCTTTCATCAGGGCCCTCCCAGCTAGTGTCAATTTCCAGGCATCGGAAACAGGGGCGGAGCAGCACGCGTTCTTGACACTGAAGAATGTGGATGCAGTGCGCACGCACTCTGTCCGGATTTTGCCCCCCACGCCAGAGTGCTTTGGGGTGGTGTCAGCGAGCCGGGTCGTGAAGCTGGCCCCGGGGATAGAGACGAAAGTGAAGGTGGGGGTCTGGCCGTTTTGACACCGCTTGTTTGGCTTGTTGCTTGAATTTGGCAGCAGGCTTATTGCTGATTGTAATCTTGTCTCTGATTTGGAGAGAAAAATATAGCTTGGACATACTGGATACACTTTCCAGATTCTGAAAGGTTAGGATCCTACAAGTCAAGATGTATCAAGTTCTGAGCTTGCACTCTAAAGTTGTGTGTGGGAACTTGGTGGTCAGATTTTGGTGGTAAGAAAAGCCAAAAGTACATGATGACAGAAAGAAGACGACGATCTCTTCGTCAAAATGCCAGAATGGGAACCTTTTCAAAGTCCTACTTTACACGCAAGTGTTTCTGTGAATGTTCCTCTTCTCTCCACTTCGAGAAAAGCTTGCGCGCCACATTTGGTAATCCGATTGTCAATGCGGAGAGGAAAAGACCGTGAGCAGCAGAACAGGGAGATTAGAGCCAGCTTCGGCAGTGCCATCCTGCCAATGCTCTGTGTCATGGATTCACATTTTTCCTTCCTTCCTTTTTCATGGGATGCTCATCAGAAGTTGGACAGGTCGACTTGCTTGCAGCGCTCGGGGTTTCCAGAGCCCCTCTGCCGTACCTTGCCGAAAGAGACTGCTCTATTGGGCCTCTAGCCCTCACAAGGGTCGAAACAATACTTTCTTTAGGAAGAGTCTGATCTTTCGGGCTGTCACCAGGAGCGCCGTGCCTGGTAAAATCGCTCTTTCATGGTCAAACCGATTTCTTCTTCATCAGGGATTTAAGGATCAGTCTAAATTGGCGGTAGCACAAGTTGCTGCTACTCATAACCAGCTCCGGCTGATAGTGGTTTGCAGGATATTTATCTTTTCATGTGAAGTGACATTCAGATTTCTCTGTTGCAGGTTACGGTCCGCCAAGACGGCCCCCTCAAAAAGGACGTCCACGGCGCACTTACCATCGAGACAGAGCAAGGCCCCCCCCTCTGCATTCCGCTGCACACTCTTCTCCCCCAGTCTTTCCTTCACATCGAACCCTCGGTTCTACTTCTCGGCGCGGTTGCTCAAGGAAGCGTAATCGAGAAGACTCTGACGATCTCGAACAAAGGCGGAAAAGGGGCAGAATGGTCGGTACGCTTCGATCACAGTTGCCCTGTTATAGTGGAACCTCAAAGCGGGTTTCTGGGTCCGAACTCTGGAGAAGAAGTCAAAGTCACATACGAGGCCAAAGATGCGGGGGACTTTAAGGCGGGGGTGGAGTTTAAATGGGGGGAGCCGGGGCAAGTTCAGTCCCAGGGGGTCGAAATCACTGCCTCGAGCACCCCCCAGAAAGTGGACTTTTGCGCGGAGGACGGGACGCCCCTGGGGAGAATCGACTTCGGTTCGCTGTTCTTCGGGAGCTCCAAAACGGTGCGGGCGCGTTTGCGAAACCTCGGACCCGTGCCCATAAGCTATGAGACGGGGCTGTATACGAACCCGGACAGCAGCCGGGGGTCTGGGGACCACGGCCCGATTGACACCATCTCGGCTGAAAGGCTGGAGGGACTCCAGGCGGCGAAGTCGAAGTGTGTGACGGTGTCACCGGCAAGCGGAACGGTGCCACCGTTTTCTGAATTACCTGTGGTAATCACGTTGGCGGTTGCGAGAGAAGGGCCGATGAAGGGGTTTTCGACGACGAAACCTGCGGCGGGTGCGGGAAAGCAAGTCTTTTCTTTCCTGACGATCTTCGATGTGAAGGAGGTGAAGCGCAGACTGAAGCTCCCGATTTGGGGACAGGGCGTCGAGCCCTCGGTTGTATTCACACCGACCGCCCTCTCGTTCGGGGAGCCCGGTTTGAAGACCCGCGTCAAGAAGACGCTGACGCTCGAGAACGGAGAGACTGAGCTCCCGGTGCGGTTCGAGTTCGGACGCTTAGCAGAGTTCCACGTGGCACCCGATCACGGGATCATCCCCCCACGTGCGTCTAAATTGGTGGCCGTCACTTTTGATCCAAAAGTCATCGGGCCTCGCCGGGCGGTGCTGACGTGCGACATAAGCGGGGCGGATAAGGGGCCGGTCGTGCAGAAACTAGAGGTGCGAGTGGACGGAAAAGCTCCTGCAACGGTTGCGGTAAAGGCGGCAACGGTTGGGCGGGGAACAAATCGGTCGCCCGAGAAGAGACGCACCGGGTTTGCGCTTACTTCTGTCTCCCCGAACAGCGGCTTAACCAGCGGATTAGTGAGCGGGTTAGTGGAGGCGGAGGACGACGCCATCGGCGGGCTGCATAAGCTATCGAGGAACGAGTCAACGAAGCGGGACGAGCATCGCGATCAGTACAAGACCTTCTTGCGGAGCGCCCGGATGGAACGAGAGGAGCGAGAAAACCGGGGGACCGCTAAACCTCCGCCCCCGGACGACGCGCTAAACCTCGGGTTAGCGCTGTTCTCCGGCTTAAGGGAACCCGAACCGGAGTTGCCGCTCGCGAAGGATCCGCTGTGGCTGATCAAAGACGTAAACGAGATCGGGAAGGAGGGTTCGTACGTCCGCCCGAAGAACCGTCCGTTGCAAACGAACACCGAGTCCGAAATCCACTCCGTGGCAAAGTTTAAGGCGAGGCCCTGTGAAGCGGGGGAGGCGCACGAGTGTCACTCACAATTACGCCCGAGCGACATCGTGAAGATCGTAGCAGGGCCTCATTCTCTCGACTTTGGGCGGGTCAGCGCTCTGGCGCCCCACACGAAGATTTTCACAGTCACGAACAAGCTGCACAAGAGCATTCTGGTCGGGGTTGAGACCCGGTCCGTACCGGAGCTGGAGAAAAGCGAACCGGAGAGCCAGGTGATCCCCCCCGGGGCAACGGCGGGCTTCAGGATCGTGCTGTGTACGAACAAGCTGCAGACGGTGCGCCAGAAGGTGGAGTACGTCATTAACGGTCAGCACAGGTAAGCAGGAAGGATCGGACGGTCCGGCTTTGCAGCTGCTGAGATGAAGGACAATGGTTTGGAGACATCCCTTCGGTCGGCTGTCTCAGAGAATCCTCTAGAATGAGTCCAAGAGGACTCCGGTTCATTCATGAAGGAGCGTATGCTTCCGTGAAGGATTTGTTCTCGCATGATGTCCGAATTTACGATGGGGCGAACCGCTTGTTTCCAATCCCATTGGTTGAAACGTGTACTCTCCTACCCAGCCCCAATCGCGAAGACCAGCCCTTTGATGTGTCTGAAAACAATCAGGGCTCTCATGTTGGTTACCGAAACGGGTCTTTGTCAGGACACCTGCTTCTTAATGGCCCGCTCTCTGGGTTCTTCGTCCGACTTTTAAAGAATCTTCTTTGCACGTGAGAAATGGGCTTTACTAGCTTATGCGTACTCGCGTAAGACCTTGCGCCAGACGTTAAACCGTTCCGTTCGCCGTGCCCGTCTCGTCGTAGCCTTCAGAAGACAATCCTAAAAACTTCCCGCATCTCCTCGTTTGCCGTCCGATTTGGTCCGGCTACAGACAAACATGTTGACAACTCACGAGCCGCTTTCGCTCAGCTTGACGATCTGGTCTTCAGTTGGTGATTTCCTAACGACACCATTAGAGCTTGGCCTATCACGAGAGGAACCACTCGATTTTTAAGATGGCCTGACTCAGCGGATACTGCTTCCCCCGGTTTCACAGGTTTCAGTTGGAGGTCCTCGCCGAAGTAGAACCGGTCGCTCTCTCCATCTCCCGGGAGGAGATTGACTTCCGCTACACACCCGACGACTGGGAACCCTGCATAACCGAGCAGTTAATCGTCCATAACCCGAACAACCACACTGCGGACTACCAGTGGGAGTGCTCTAACCCGGCGTTTGAGGTCACGCCAACCCGGGGCGCGATCGAGAAGTTGGGTTCCGTTCCGGTCACCGTCACGTGGCGGCCCGGAACCGGAAACAACGACGGGTTCCTGACGCTGAGCGTAGTAGGGGGCGCGGGCGCGAGCAAGCGGGTGCGCTGTAGCGGTACGTACCGCGGTTTTCGTGAGCAAGAGAAAGCTAGGCTTCCGTATGTTATGTGACAAGAAAGGAAGGTCAAGGAAAGAAGGTTCTGATACCGCGTATCTCTTTTGGTGAAAAGCAAAGCTGTTCGGTATTGATTTGCGGTATGTAGGTGGCTGTCTTTGCGATTCAGGTATCGCAGATTCATGCCCTGATTAAGTCTCCAGAAGCAAGTGCGAAACGCAGCTTGACGAGAGATTGGCCGGATCTTGATGAGTGATTGAAAAGACGTGTGTGAATCGAGCAGAAAGGGAACCCAGGAAGAACGCAAAGTGTGACCTGACAACAACCTTGAGCGTTCGATTTCAACTGTCCGAAATTTGTCATTCAAAGCTTTCGAGTCGTTTTCGGACGGACCCGATTGGAAGTTTGGCCACTCTGGGGCCCCATTACCCTCGATTTTATTGGGGTGTTCATGCATGGCCTACGCCCATTTGAAGGAATAGCCGTTTCAATGCAGGGGAGAGCCTGGAAGGCAAGTGCGCCTTCAAGGATAAGAAGCTCGACCTGGGCATGGTTCCGGTGGGCGCCCCTGTCCACAAGACCGTTCCGCTGCGGAACGTCGGCAAGACGGACGTCGTCTTCCGGGCGTCGGCGGGCGACCAGTCAGCGGTGCTTTCCTGCAGCCCGGTCGCCGGACGGATCAGCCCGGGGGGAACGCAAGACTTGGAGCTGACGTTCGAAGCGGAGGAGGCGAAAGAGTACGACGCGTGGCTCCAGGTAAATACTCAGCTACTCTCGTTGGAAGCTGGGTCTATTCAAGGGCGACTTGAAGAGACTCTTAGGTTTGCGAAAAAGGTTCGTTGAAACGGACCCCAACAACGGATCAAAAGCTTTCAACAAAGTAAACTTTGACCTTGTGGTTGCTTTTCACTTACTTCGGTATTAGCGTACCATGTACACACATACGCTGGGGCGCGAAGGATTGCGGAATTGATATGTTTTTAAGATCTTGTGCAACGCTCAGATGGAGAACAAAGAGTTGCTCATGGGCGTCCTTTGTCTATTCCTCGAAATCGCACCCTCCACTTACCTTGAATGAGGTTGTGTTTGCGTTTGGGACACGCAGTCTCAAGTTACGGATTCTGATTCACTACAACCCTCGAGTGGAAATGGACCACAAAAGGGCAAGGTTTGCGAGTTGCGAGTTCTTGATTAGTTTTGAGTTCCGTGCTTCTATAAACGAGCTCCAATTTAAGGTCGCCCGGACAACCTCTCGAACCAGATATATGCACAACCAAAAGGCTTCCAGACGTTCTCACTGCACGGAGTGTCTCTAGACTGAAAAGTGCTACTTGTTGACCACATCAATGACCAAAATGCTTTCGCGCAGGTCTCTGCCCGGGGCGGCAAACCGACCGGTCTCCAGGTGTGCGCGCACGCCGTCGTCCCGACCGTCACCATCGAACAGCAGGAGTTCGCTTTCGGGGCTATTTACATCGGCGCGTCAGCACAGCAGACGCTGACGTTGACCAACAGCAGCGGAATTCCAGCGGCTTTGCTGCTGGACCTCAGCGGACACCCGGAGTTCCGGCTCGAGCTGCCCGCGCGCGTGCGCGCAACCGCGACCGCGACCGCGCCGAATGAGGAGGAATTTGCCGACGGACCGCTGCAGCTGATCTCCCCCGGGGGGCCGAGAAGTATTGACGTCGAAGCGGATTCTGGCGGTTCCGCCCAGGGCGAGATCGACGACGAAGGGCCGCAGTACAAGATTCTGCTCGCGGCCAAAAAGACGCTGACATTTGTGCTGTCGTTTCAGCCGACGCGCGACCGCGTGGAGTCATTCGACCTTCCACTGTCCGTCCTCGGCGTTCCGGCGGGCGAGCAGCCGGCGCGCGCGGTGCGCGCACGCGGGCTGAAGCCGCGGGCGCGCCTCGCGCCCCCCGTCCTCGCCTTTGGCGCCAAGATCGTCAAGAAAGAAACGGTGAAGCAGATCCCATACGCTATGGAGACGACGATCACGAACACGGACGAGAAGCCGCTGACGTGGCAGCTGGGGACTGCTGACGTGGACGCCTCCAAGGGCGTGTTCACCGTCGAACCGAAGCAGGGCGTTTTGGCGGAGGGCACTTCGACAACGATACGGGTCACATTCCTGCCACGGGAGGCGGAGCAGTACAAGTGTTCCGTTCCGGTGCACCTGGACGGCACAACGGAAAAGGAGCCGTACTCCTTCCTGACCCTAAAAGGCACGGGGCTGGCGCCGGGGTTAGCTTTTGAGGTTAGGGAGATTACCCTTCCGGTTGTTCCGCTTGACATCCGCACCCGCGCACGTTTCTACCTGGTCAACAAGGGTTACGATAACCTGGACGTCAAATACCGGCTGCCGATCGATTCCGATAAGGCGCCCCTCCAGTTGGAGTTCCCCGGAGGAACGCTTATAGGGTTCGCTAAGGAGCGCCTGCCCGTCGACGTCAGCTTTGCGTCAGACCAGCCGCTCTCTTTCACGGCGAATCTGGACTTCTTCGACGACGACGGCCGAAAATTTTCCGTTCCGGTGACCGGAACGGCGGACAACTGCCTTCTCACGAACCACCCGTTCCTCACCTTCAACAAGGAGGCGCTGCAAATCTCGGTGGAAGACGGAAAAGCCCCGACTCTAGTTCCCGACGCCGGGTACAAGATCCAGCCCCCGGAGCTGTCCGACGCCAGCGTGACGTCACAGAGCGGCGCACTCGCGCGCTGGCTTGACGTCACGCTCTCGCGCGCGCCGATTAAAGACATTGCCGGCGAGTTTTCGGCGTCGAAGGGGAAGCTGCTGGTCGAGCTGGTGGAGAATCTGAGCGGGAAGGGGGTGCCCGGCAAGCTGGGAAAACTGCCCCCCAACAAGAAGGACCAGGCGGAGGCGGTCCGGGGCCAGTACGAAAAAGTGCTGACGTTTCTGAAGCAGCACGGCGCGCTTTTGAACGCGGTAAAACCGGAGCTGTTGCTGACGGAAGACGATCTGGAGCGCGTGCTCGCGACCAGGGAGCAGGGTTTGGAGGGTTTGGGCGAGGAGGGCGACGGCGAGGGCGCGGCGGCGGCCGGCGCGCGGGAAGCCGCGGCCGCCTGGCGCGCGGTGCTGGCCAACTTTGCGAACGTGTCCAGTGAGGCGTGGCACATGACGCTGTTCCAGGTGACGATTGCCGCTTTACTAGCCGCGGGCTTACACATTTCATACTAGACCCACTGATCAAACGGAAGAATTTTGAAGTTCTGATGGGTGGATAAAAGGATGCCGCCAGAGTTTCCCTGTGACACGCGGAGGTCATGACAGCATATTTCTCGCTGCTGCAGCTGCAATAACAGCTCTTCCAAACTCAAGAGCAGTGGACAGTCCGTCTTTGTATTTTCCGCTCCCGCAAAGGAAGCTTCAATGTAGACACCCTATTTTTTAGATTCCTTAGAGGTCTCGTTTGTCTAGATACCCTGTTATTTCAGATCCGTTAGAGGTTCCGTTGTCTCGAAATTTAACACTTGAGAACCCAAAAGCCTCTGCTTTCAAATATCCGGTTCTGTAACCGGAAAGGACACTCGCTTAGGTCTCGAAAGGAACTCTACCTAAACTAATTGGTGCAACGTTTCTCAGAGAAGCAAGTGGCCGCCGGGGTCGAATAGACGCTGCCTTTTTGCAATGAAACTTTACTTTTGCTTCCATCATTGTTTCGCACGAATCCACGGAGCCTCTACTCAGTTCATTCGTCTCGTCACTTTCATGTTGATTCAATTCAAGATTCAGACTAAGATTGAGGTTTTTCGTTCTTTGCAGGTGTTGCGGATCTTTGTACTCAACCGCGTCACTCCCAAGTCGTTGGCCACGCTTCCGGGGATGGAGGGCCTCCTTCCGCCCGTTCCGTCCGCCGGCGCAAAGCGGAACGGAAAGCACGCCGCCACCGACCCGTCCCTTGTGGGCAGCAACTTCCTCAGGTAGACGATTTGCATACACTGACCAAAATCACAGGTTTTGTCACCCTGGATACGTAACAAACATGGCTTTCACGGTGGAAGTTGAGTGAAAGCACCTGAGGTGTAGCGATGCGCTACACCGTCTTTCGCGGATCATAAGCTTCCGCTGCAGAGTTCATTCGAAAGCTTTTGTCCCGTTTCAAATTAAGCGCAGTCGCTTAGAGTTTTTCGTGGGTTGCTCCCTTGAATACCCTTCGTTCAAGCAGTGACATTATAGTATGATTCCAATAAAAAATCTGCACTCCGTTTTTAGTCCTCAATTTAAAATTCTATGCTTTTGCAGCGTTCCGGAGTCCGTTCTGCTTAAGTGATTGACCGCCCACTTCCGGAAGGTCCTCCCCACTAAAACAAAGAACATTCCGTACTTCGGTACAACTCCTCACTTTGAGATTCTTTGCTTTTCCAGCGTTCCGGAGTCCGTTCTGCTCAAATGGATGACCGCCCACTTCCGGAAGGTCCTCCCGGGGCAAGCCTACCGGGTGACCAACTTCGACGCCGACCTGCGCGACGGCACCGTTTTCTACGCGCTTCTAGTTTCCCACTGGCCGGGCCTCAACAGCTTCTCCCAGGCGCTGACACGTGGCGCCAAGAGCGAGTCCAAAGTGCGCGCGAACGCGAAGGTCCTCATCGAAATGATGGGCGTGCTCCGGTTACCTTATACGATCACGGAGGACGAGCTGGCGTTCCCGCAGGCCCGAGAACTTCTAGTGTTCTCGGTTTATCTCTACCAGGCGCTGCCGCAGCTGGCGCCCCGGTCCACGGTGGAGTTCGCGGGGCGGTTAGGGGAGCGGTTAGCGAAGGTGGTCGAGCTAACCAACCCGACGTCGAAGCCGATCTCCTACCACGTGCAACTAGAGGGGAGCAAAGAGTTCGAAGTCGGGAAGGATTCAATCCGCATCGAACCCCGGGGAACCGAGAAGGTTATGATAACCTGCACGCCGTCGATTTCTAAACCCGTGGAGGGACGCCTGATGCTCGCGAGCAAGCGGGAGGGCGCGGCCGTGGCCGCGACCATGGTCTTTGCGCTGCGCGCGCGCGCGCTGTCCGAGCTTCCGGTTGCCACGTGGCAGACGGAAGCGCGTCTCTTTGAGTACACAACGGTCGAACTAGAGGTTGGGAACCCGTTCCCTGGGGACTGTGAGTTTGCGGTCACGCTACTCCAGGCGTGCGTCAAGAAACCCGCGGCCGAGCCGGAGGTTAAGAAGGCGGTTAAGCGGGCGCCCATCTCGGAGGAGCCCAGTTCCGCTTCCGTTGGCAGCGCCGACGGAAAGGCCGTTCCGCCGGACGCGTTTGGCTGCGACAAGTCCGTCCTGCGGTTGAGAATGAAAGAGAAAGGTCGCCTGGTGGTGCACTTTTTACCGTTCCAACAGGGGCAGTTTAGCTGCACGGTACGCCTAGAGGATAAGATCTTCGGCGAAATCGTGCACCTCGTCGAGGCGAAAGCGAAGCCCCCCGCGCCGACGCAGCTGCCCAAGTTCGTGACGGAGTTTGGCAAAAACCCGGTGGTTAAGGAGGTGGTCATCCCGGTGACCAATCCCCAGTTCGAGAACGCTAAGCGCATCTTCCTAGAGAAGCACCCCGGGGCAAAGAACAAAAAGCAGACGGAGCTTCTGAAAGCGCTCGGGGAAATCGTCCAGGGCGCGAGCACGCGCGCGGTGAGATTCGCCGTGCACTCCAGCAGCCAGTACGTCCACGTGCCGCATGACGTCACCCTCGGTTCCCCAAACCCCAAACCGCCGCCCAAGGAACCCGCGGTTAACGGCAAACCTCCCGCTGACCCGAAAATTGCCGCCCCTGCCAACGTCCTGCTCGCGACGTTTAGCCCGAAGCAACCGGGGACCTACCCCGCCCGCGTCACGCTGACGTCACCGGCCGACGTGCGCGTCTTCGACCTGGAGTTCTGCGCGGCCGCGCCAGACGCGCGCGCTGCGCTCGCGTTCTCGTGCCCCGCGCGCGCGAGCATCCTGCAGGAGCTGCCCATATCCAACGGCTCGGATAAGCCGCTGATTGTCAAGGCCAACTTTTCGGGGGGGACGGCTTTCACGGGGCCGAGAGAGGTGTCGGTGCCCCCCGGAGGGATGACGCAGTACGCGCTGACGTTCCGGCCGCCGTGGATCGGGGAGTACACCTCTGGTGAGCGGAACGGAACGCTGGTCGGACTACTTTGTTATATGAGTGGAACAACTCCAATACAAGAACTGCCGCTTGGAGGGGTGTCTTCTCCTGCAGATTCTGTCTCCCTGCGAAGACGAACTCGTCTGTCTTACCTTGTGAGCCTACTCCAGAGTTGAAGGCAATTGGGGAGGCGCGTTTGCAATTGAGTTTCTTTCCGTTCCATTTGCAAGATCTTTGATCGAATGAGGTCATCAGAAGCTTTAGGCTCGGCTGTGATCCTGTGAGTGGTTTCCACCGTGTGCATTGCGATCGACGTTGTACCGCCACGGCTCCGGATCACACACATTGACAAGGCCGGACAAACTTCTCATAGTGTCGTTCGTATCCCTCTGATCAGAGCTGCAATTATCGGGCGCCGGCGTTTATACGCTGACGGGGACTGGCGAGGAGCCCTTATCTGAGGGCCACGTGGTGTTGGAATGCCCTACGCGCGTGCGCGCGCTGCGACGCATCAAGGTGCCCAACGTCATCGGGGACCAGGAAGTGCCGTACAGGTGGGAATGCTGCTCCGGTTATTTTTGTCGTCATTGAAACTTCGACTTTCGCATTTACTTTCCAGGAAGTCACCTATACTTCCAGATCTTACTTTCCCATTGAAGGATTGGTAACGCAGGAGGAAAGAGAGCTTTGAATTGGAGAGGTTCACCAGAGTTTGTCCACTCGCCTGAAAGGTTCTCACGTCCTTCTTTAGCAGTTTGCATCGAGCAAGGAAGCGAGGTGTTCTCCAAAGCAGTGTTTATTTTGCGGCGGTTAACCCCGTTGTTTTACTAATTCTAGATGGAAGTGCGACTTCGTCGTTCAACAGCCTGAAAGGCTTCTCGAGAATGTTGCGAAACTAACCTGCGCTGCTGATCGCCCCTTTGTTCGTTACAGCTTTCTCGGATTTTGAAGCACGGACCAATTCAAGCGTTGTTCGATCCGCGGCATCGAACCCCAAGAGCATCTTTCTTCTGCAGGATAAGGACGAAATGTCTATTCAATCTCCGCGCCCTCAATCCGCAGTGAGGATTTGAAATCCATATTGAAGGATTTCCTATCAGGAGGGTTGCTAGGTTGCTAGGTGCAGCAACGAAGGCCAAAGCAGATAGTCCGAGCCTTACTTCTGACTTCGAGTGCCCAATCATTTTATTCTCGTCAGGTTTTTAAGCAAGTGCCTCTTTGCTTCGCAGCTTCAAGTCGGACCTGCCGGACGTGACCGGCCCGGACGTCTTCAAGGTGCGTCCGAACAGCGTCGTCGAATGCGAGCTCGCAGTCCAACCGCGCCAAGTCGGAACCGTTACCGGGAGCCTCCAGTTCACCGCTCCAACCGGGCAGTACTGCTGGTTCACAGTGGAAATCACGGCCGGGCCGCCGCCTTGCGAGGGAACGGTAACGGTCAAATCTGTCGTCCGAAACCCGGTCGAGGTCCTCGTAACCCGCCTCGAAAACCCTCGCGACGAGCCCGCGACGTTCGCGGTCAACCTGCAGGGTTTGGGGGTTTCAGGCGACGCCGCGGTAACCGTTCCCGCGGGCGGCAGCGCGGATTACAAGCTCGTCTACCGGCCGCTTTTCCCCGCCCGGGGGACGGGCTCCGTGCACTTCGACAGCGAAACCCTGGGTTTGCTTTGGTTTAAATTGGAGTTAGAGGCGGAACCCGCACCGGACGAGACCCTCCCCGAGCTCTTGTGCGAAGTGGGCACAACGGTCACGCACCAAGTTAGCGTCGCTAACCCGCTCTCCAAACCCGCTGTCGTCCGGGCGACCAGCAGTAACCCGCGCAACTTCGTCGCTAACCCGGCTACCCTAACCCTGCCCCCTGACGGCCGGGCTGACGTCACGATTGAGTACACGCCCTCGGTTCTCGGCGAGGTCCAAACCGGGGTTATTGAACTGGGTTCCGCGGAAGCCGGAACCTGGGTGTTCCGCTGTTCCGGCCGCGGATCTCCGCCCACGTCCATGCCGGAAACGACAGTCACTGCTTCGCTCAAGCAGGCGGCTTCTGCCCTGGTTTCCTTCCGGAATCCATTCTCGGTTCCGGTCACGGTTAGGGTTAGCATCGACCCGGGTTACGGCGACCCGGGCCCTTTCAGCGTCCTCCTGCGCCGGACGCATGGCCTTTCGGTCGCCCCGTTCAGCGTCCTCCAAATCCCGGTCGCTTTTCAACCATCATTCATTGCGCAGTTACGCGCTAACCTGAGGGTGGAGCTCGAACCCGAGCCCGATTACGAAAACCCCAGCGCTAACCGGGAAACGCTAACCTGGGTCTTTCCGATCGTGGGCGTGGCGGAGTATGCGGAAGCGGGCCGCGTTTTCCGGTGCGCGTGCAAGGCGCGCGGCTCGAGCGAAGGGGTTTTGGAAGCGAGGCTGGTTGGTATGGGGTTAGTGACAAACCCGGAGCGGTTTACGTATGAGGTTGCGACGGAGGAAGGCGACGCGGCGGTTGTCGCACAGTCGCTTCGAGTCGAAGCTCTTGACGAGGTGAGAAAACTATTTGTCTCCTTCATTCCTACTTTGCTAGAAGAAAAAGAACTTGGGAGATAGCAGAGCCATGAGCTGTGGAATCAAAACATACAGTGACTTTTCTTAGATACGCAGTCACTACTGAAGGTCCGTAACAGCGGAAGATTCTGAGATAGGAATTTCAACAGTCCTCTGGCTGAGGGAGGTTCGCGGCTTCAACGTTTCAAACGGATTTCTTCGATAGCTTCGCTTCTGTATAGCGTGCACCATGATTTTAATAAGAGATGTAAAATCTGGTCTTGAGGAACGACCGTGCGGAAGGTGCAAAACACGAATCTCCGCTTCTCCCTCAAAACGGTCTCTTTGAGTTGAGAAAAGACGCTGTCCTCGGGACTTTTCTTGGCAGAAACGAGTTGCCTTATGAATCTTTCCTTGCAGCGACATTTTGAAGTTCTAGCGGCCGCTCTTTCAGTGAGATCGAGAAGGGTACAAAAAAGGAAAGAACTCAGGTGAAAGAACACGGGGAACAACATTGGAAAGCAGAAACTGTCCTTGATAGAAAAGGAACTTACAGAGGCTTATGCGCTGCCTCTTCCTTGCTCAGGTCATCTTCGGTCCCGACCAGCCGCTCCGGTTCCGGGTGACCTTCGCTCCGCTGCGGATTCTGTCAACGGCAGCGGATCTCGTCATCACCAAAGAGACCGGCGGCAGGTGGCGCTTTGAGATGGCTCTCGAGGTCAGTTTGGCGTTCCGTTCCGTGCTGAAAGTTCCGTTTCGTCTTCCTTCGTATGAAAGAAGATATCAAATCGAGGAGCATGACGAAAGCCAACGCAGAGTTTCGAAGTTAGAAAAGGCTGTCAGTCTCGATTCAGAACCGACTTTCAAGTCTAAATGTGAATTTGTAGCGCTTTAAAGATGCTGAAGTCAGGCATGGAGAGAGCTGCTGCAAGCGGATCAGGGCTGGTGCAAAACCATTTGTTTTCTTGGCGGGGCTATGTAACTGCTTGTTCAAAGAACTCCTGACTTGGACCTTGAACGCATTGTAAGTCGTGATCCGGTCGTCTTCGATGCTGTTTTGAAAGAAACATAGAATGACGGCGTGGCAACTTCAAACCGTTCTCTACACGTTCCGCCGGAACGAGGCGGAAAGCTATGAGCCGTTCGTGTGCGGAATCCCGTTCAGGGCACTGGAACAATCTTGCACGGAGCCCCCTTTCTGTGTCCGGTCAGACCGTGACACTCAGCTCCTTCAAAGACCAATTTCAAAGGTTCGTACCGCAGGCGTCTGAGCCCGAACCGGACGGTACCATCCACGTGGAAGCCCCGGTCGGCAAGACGGGCGTGAGCACATTCACACTGCCCGCTCTTCCTGACCGGGAGATCTCCTACCGGGCACTTTTCGGCCCCGGTAGCCCGCTAGAATTCGACGTCGAACCAACCCGGGGAGTGCTTAAACCGGGCGGACGAGGGCAGGAGCTGCGCGTGGCGTTCACGCCTCGGGAATACGCCGGGAAGCCCCTGATCGGCAAATTGTATATCCTCGTGAGTCATGGAATAGAGTTCTTGTCACGTCGCTCTTCTTGGAGCACGCCTACTTGTTGTACGTTTCTTTGCGGTTGAGTTAGGTGCAACTAAGGTCATTTGACTACATCTTCTAAATGCGCCGACGAGGCCATGAGTTAGGGGTACTTTTCACGCCCCGGGAATACGCCGGGAAAACCCTGATCGGAAAACGGTACATTCACGCGAGTGGCGTCAGCCGGATCTTGCCGCGCCGCTTTCTTTGAGGGTTTTTAAGGTTTCTAGCGGTTTAGGGGTTTTAGGATTGCAGGGCATCTGTTGGGTTTGTCGCAGTCTGATAGAAAGCATTTGATTACATTTTCATGTCCTCAGATCCTGCAAATCAGTTTTCCGTCATAAGCTGGAGGTAACCGATGGCAACTAGGATACAACCGAGAGGCCAGGCAGAACGCAGAAGCGCTAAGTGGAACAGAGCTTGTGAGAGGAGCATTTGACGAAGACCTCGGACAAGTGTTCTCCAAGTTGCTTCCCCTAAGAGAAGAAGATATGATCAAATCTGGGAATGAATTGAGTATCTGCATTTTGTTTTGACTTGATGAAGGTTTGACACTTGACAGGTTTTCATCCTTCGCTGTTTGGGTTTTCAGAAGTGACTCCCGGGAAGTAAGGGAAAAGGCTCTCCTGATTTTGAGCGCGGGCTTTTCATTGGTTTCAAGAAGGCACTTTTGACGAGCTCAGGATGCAAAACATAATAAACGTCGGCTCTGCCACCGACTCAACGGCCTATCCTGGCGTGCTGCTACGTCGTGATCTGATTGACAGCCGCGTTCGCATATTGAGGAGAGGTCGCTTCTCGAAAACCAGCACGGGTTTCTGAAGGTTCTAAATCCGCGAAGCTTGTCCTCTGCGAAGGTTGCTGATTGATGTACTGACGGCGACTTTGTTCTGCAGACGGACGAGCGGGACTGGATCTACGAGGTCAAGGGAAGTCGGCCGGAGTATAAGCCACCGGTCGCGCCGCCCCGCATCAACTCCAAGCTGAGGTGAGAAGCGGTTCTTCCAATGTTCTGAATCTGGCCCACCGCCGTGCAAGCTTTCATGTGAAGGTGCGGTTTTGCTTGTGGTTCCTTCTTCTTCCTCCGCGAGGGGCAATGCTGGAAAGACGTATCCAAAACCGAATCCAACCCCTATGGCTTTCAACAACGAGCCAGGCCCGGTTGGATGATTCGGGCACTTGGAGAGCCGCCGCTTACTGCTCTTCGTGACGCTAAATTACTGGTCATTCGTTTCCAATTGCGCCTCTTTGGGGTATTTCTGAGAGTTGAAAGCACAAAAGCTCGATTATGTATCTAACGAACTTGGAAGCAAGATTCTGAACAGCTGCTCGGATCGATTCCTCATGTTTGCAGCGTGAGAGCTAGACACTTACTCCATGCACTGCCTGATCTAAGTGTGCCGAAGTGCGTGCACTTATCGCGTCTTCAGAATCTGGCGGATAGTCTGGTCGCGTAAATGTGATCATAAAGATTCGGCAATCTCGACATCGAACCCCGAGTGACGAGAACGTCTACAGAAATCCTTGTTTACCAACGCCAGAACGAGCAAACCTTTCAGAAGGAGCCAAGTTGAGAGGAAAGCAGTCCCTGGTCGTCTGTAAATCGGTGAAAAGTTGACTTCGCGGAATGTACTTTGAGCCTCGTTTCGCTTTGTTTTCGCAGTCCGGAATTGGCGACCAAACTAGAGCAGGCGCAGCACCCCCCGAAGCGGAACTACGTGAGAGAGAACCTGAAGGCGGGGACCCAGAAGCAGTCTGCGACAAAGAAGGTATAGGCTTCCGACCGGACTTTCAGAAGTAGTCTTCTACATTGCTGCACTTTCAGGGTCCCCTAGAGATTTATGCGCGGCCCTGGATTTGCTCGACCGACGTTTTCCAACCAGACCGCAAGGGATTAGGCAGCGCGATATAAGCCGGAAACAGAAGAACTAGCGAGTGCTCCCGATCTGTAAGATTCAGAATGTCGAATTGAATGTTTGCGAGGGCGGCGAAACCGCTGGCAGCTTCTCCTGAGGAGTCGCCGCCCAGTTCAATCCAAGGTTTGAGGTTATGCAAGAAAAGCTGAATACGCGCGCCCTCAATTGATGCTGATTCTTGAGATGGGGGCTGCGCGCCCCTACGGTTGCACATTTCCGAGGTTAGGCTTATATTCACGGTGTACGTGTGATCCTTCAATTGTCCATCTATGCCGCGGCAGCTTGGCCTAGTCACAGCATATGTGCGCGCTTTAATCTGGACGTATGGCTTCAGCATTCTGCGAAAAAGAGTATACTTAACCTAGCGGGCGTCCGAAACAATGGCTCCGGACATGCACACTTGCAGTTCATGGCATCTGCATGCCATGGCAAGTCTGTTTGAAGGGCCGAACCAGATTGAACGTCTGGTCTTCTTGGGCTTCCGTCATGCATCCTCAAGTAGATTGCCCTGGAGTCTCCGGCCTCGCATCCGGCCTACGCCTCTTTGATTACAAGCGTATGATCAAGTATAGTTTCCTAGCTTAAAATACCACGCGCGCGGCCCGAGGGGGGGCCGTTTGCTAGCCTTGCTCTTGCTTGCGTCACTTAGTGACAATAATCCGGCCATGCACACAGGCTTAGGCAATACTCTGAGTAGCGAACACTGAAACCATGGCCGGCCAGCGCATCCGACATCATTGAGCAGAATCTGATCACATGCAGTTCGATCATGTGCATGCTTCTTTACAATTGACTGCAGCTGCCATGGGACTCTTTTTCTGAAGAAATGAGATGCATTTCACTTACGACTTGGCAATCTGAGGTCGTAAGTGCCCGCGCACTTGCATGCGTATGTGATGGTAGCATGCACAGATATCTCGAGCATGTGTGCGAGTGACGTATCCTCCAACATGATACTGATTAGCTTACGCGTACTGATCGACTTCATGAAAGTGACGTCTAACCTGCTTACAATCCGTAGCCACCCTGTCCAGGAACGGTGTAAAGTCATGTTTGTCAATTGCCCCTCTGATCGTACATGTCAAAGTGTCGTAGTAATGACAAAGCACCATGTATGGCAACGATCTCACAAAAGTACATCCTACTCGCGAACGCGTTACAATACGTACAGTAACACTGGCCCTTTGCTTTACAAAGGGCATAATCATATGAAGCGCCGATGATCGCCGTGCAAGAATCGCTTGCAGCATATACTGCATGAACTTATGTATCATTGTTTTATACACGATGCATTCTGCCGCTTGGAAAAGGCCTCTAAGTACATATATAAGTTTGCCGTGACCAGGATGTTCTGCAAAACCCCGGGCCTAGAGGCAGACAAGTCCATGAAGCAATCACTCGCAAGCAGATCTTGAAAAGTGAAAGGTGCGCCCGAAAAGCGTCTTTGACATTGATAAGCTTCGCCTTTTAGATGATGATCTCCTCACTGTCTGCACCCAACCTAGACAAACTTGCAAGCATGTCGCTTACATCAAACAAGTCCGTTGGAAGGGCCACGATAGGGTTTGTAAGAAGGGCCTTGAGTGGCAAGGGAGCCAAGGACGCCTGGAAGGCTAGCCCAATCGCTTGCGGCGGCAGCCACCTGCTTTGAGAGGGACGGGAGAGGCAGCTTCGCTGACGCCCATGCCTAAGGTTGCCCATGACCCGATAACAAGAAACTTGCCACACTTCTGGAGAGGACTCCGTATCTTCTTGTAGCTGGAGATTCGCGAACTCTTGAATCTTGTAGATTGCTCTTCAAGTTGGCACTAAAGAGCCAAGTACATACGAGCAAACCAGAGGTAATCCAGAGAATGCCAAGTAGCCAAAAGAGTCCGATTACGAAAAGTATTCTTTAGCTGTCACATATGTCTGTGTAAGGCAAGGGTCCTAGCCCCCGTATCAAGTCGCTCTTAGCCTCAAGGGGAAGCGCTTTTCGCCGCCTTTAATCAGCTGGATTCCGGTATTCAGCGCGCATCAGAAACTTCCCAAACGCCGATGACGGTCTTTTTGCATCATGTATCCACCATCAATCTATTCGAAACCTTTAAAATGAGTTTGAGTTTCTTTCAAATGGCAATTTCACCAATACCGGTCGCTTCTTTCAATGGAACCTTATGCACGTTAGCGCCGAAGACGTTCTTGCAGCGATAGACGTCAGATTCATGCACACTACTCAGGCCAAGCAGGGATTTCAGAAGCTCTTTTTAAACACTCGTCAATCTGTTCCCACTTGCAATCAACGTCGAGACAGGATCTCGTAAAACGAGTCTTTCGTACGAATAGACCTAAAGCTAACTTCCTCGAAGGTGCATTGAAAAGTTCGACTGACTACCTAATTTCCTTCATCACCTTTTCCCACTTTTCAGCTTCCATCAGCTTCAGGTGTTCCTTCAACTACTTCGTCAACAAGGATTCGGACCAAGATGCGCAAAGTCCAACGAAAACTTCTGCTAATAGTCTGACTGGACCTAAATACCAACAAAGTAAAATGAACTGCCTCACGGAACTCGATTACAATAGCCGAAATGCCCTCCAAAATCTGGGTAAAGTCTCCCGTCTTAAAGTGCTGAATCTCTCCTTTCGAACGCTCAGCGCATAATTCCGAGCCCAGAAAATCCTCTGAACACGAACTGTTGGCCCTCGCCTTCCGAGCGCTCAGCACAAATTCAGCGATCCCAAGCCGCTCTTTCTCGCAAATCGAACTGCCGCCTTATCTGAAAAATCACTTCCTACAGCCTTCAGGCTCCAAAAGATCCCGACACTTTTCGTCTCCCCTCATAGCCACTTCACCCCTTCACGACACCGGGGTATCTTGTGTCATACACACACGTACCAACCTGTTGAAGGGTTCTCGGCTCGGCCCCTGTCGGCTGTGACGGTGGCAGTGCCTCGCCCGGTGCTCAGAACTTTGCGCGCTTGGCGGCATCTGCCCCATACTGCTGAGCGAAACCCTGCTGGTAGTAACTCTCCATGCCTCCCTGCACGTTTGCAAGTTGCCGAGTCACAAAGAAAGTAGGTTTGCATCTAAATCACACGTAGAACACTTGACAACTCCTTAGGCGCAGTAGCGCCTCTACACCTTCAGAGGGGCAGTTGTGGTCGGCACCTTGTGGGCGGTAGTCAGCGGTTCCGGTATCTAAGTAAACTTGCTTGCACTTCAGCTTTCTCCTCCCTGAAGGTGCGATTCGCATATTAGAAGTGTGGTCTTACAAAATCGACTCACTGCCCTTACCGGTTGCACATAGGTCGGTGCCGCCTCCGCCGCCCGCTTGTCGCCCACCACAGGCGCTGACGCCGCCTGCTGCTGGCCCGGCTGTGCCTGCCATAGGAGATTTACCTCAGGCCGAGGGCTCTGACAGAGCGGAATGAACGCTGGACATGCAAACGACAACACTGGCTGCCCTTTTTGAGCTGACCACTTGAGAGTTTTAGTCCAAGAGGACAGTTACAACATAAATCTAGGCGGCAAGGCTTAGGCGTTCGCGAACCCATGGGTTTACATTGACCTGGCTTGCATTCAAGAAATCAATCGCCTTGTGAATAATCTGCGTTGGGATGCAGTGGGTATGTTTCTAGACTTGGTCTGAGACCGAGTTCACTTAACCGAACACTGGCTGTGCCTGCTGCGTACCTCTGTCCATACCTCGCTCAGAGAACCGGCCCTCGAAAAGAAAGGCGAAAGACCCCCCTGCTTACCTGATACCCCTCTGCGCCATAGCCCTGGGCCTGGTTGTAGGCCACGTCGGTCGCTGCTGCTTGAGTGTATCCCTCGGTTCCCGCCTGCTGCACAGGGGAGAAAGCACATCTTGATAAGGGTCTCTACGTGCTGACGTTATTCAAGTCAAAAACGGTTCATGAAGCCAAAGCCTTCGAAGGAACCAAGGTGCTTTTGGTTCCCCCAGAGTCTCTTAGGGCTGCTCAAGGGAAGGCCTCGTTCTAAATCGAAAGAGCGCAGAGTGTGACCACTTGATCGGCAACACATAGCGTGCTCAGTTCTCGGCAAGTGCGACTCAATGGACTCCCTCAAGCAGTCTCATCCAAACGACTTTGAGCGTGTCCTCTTGGATCTCTCCGACAACCTGAGAATAGTCGGGCTGATGCTGCAGCATCTAATCCGCCCATATGAAGCCAGGCATTGTCAACATCACTTTCAGAAGCGCGACACCTTTGAAACACTACAGCGAAACATTGCATGACCGAACAAAAGCCAAGAATTTCCGAGTAACCTAAAGATGCGATACAAGGAGGAGTGAAAGCTGTCACTAACAAAGTACAAAAGCGAGCAAAGGATCCCGATCTGAAAACCAGCAAATGATCCTATTTGCACGCACCTGCTGGCCGTCTGGTGCTGCGTTTCCATACTGTGCGTAGTACGCCGCTCAATCAGCAACCCTAAAACTTTCAAATTCCAAGAATCTCAACCACAGAAACCGGTTTCTAATTCGCGAAAAATCCCGATTGCACGCACCTGCTGGCCGTCTGGGGCCGCGTTTCCGTACTGCGCGTAGTACGCTGCCCATGCAGCGGCGTTGTCTTGCTCAGCAGTGCCAGCGGCAGCGGTGGTTGCAGCGGGCTGCTCCGTGGAAGCGACGGCCTGAGTAGCGCCCTGCACGTCAGGCTACAGCATGAGACTCCTCCTTTTTTGTCTCCATTTTCCCCTTGCTACATCAGATTTCGTTTTCTTGCTTGAGAGTCTGCTTTTCTTGTCTCCATTTTCCCCTTGCTACAACATATCTCGTTTTGTCCCTTGTTCCCATTCCTGAATCGTTCTTCTCAGATTCTTTTGCCTACTCTTGTCTCCATATCTAATCTGGCTTTTCCATCGCGAGATCACAAAGTCTGCAGAAAGAACCGGTTCATACCAACACGAGCAAGCCCTGCCTACCCATTGTCGATATCAAGCCGTTCTGATGCTGTACAGCCTTGCCACAGACCTTGTAAAACTCGATAGACCTTTTGCAATCAACCTTCGAACCTTCCGAGCATCTTTCCGAAGTGTAAAATGAAAACCGAAGAAGAGCAGAAAGAGAGGACTCGCATGCTGAGCATATATGCAGTTTAAGCTCCACTGGACAGCCCGGCTGAGGTTTCCGCACTGTCCTGATTGGCGTTATATCGCCCCAAAGCGCCGAAATTCGGTGTCGGAGAGGCTTGAAAGGAGAGATGAACGAAACGGCGGCTTGCCCGTTGAGGACAGAAACCTGAGTGGTCCCGCCCCTGGGCAGCCTGGTTGTTGTATTCATTTTGTCCTCCTTAGGTCACTAAGCACCTCAAAATCTCCACACTCTTTCAAGATAGTGCAGATGGAGGGAAAAGAGAAGGGTGGGCTTGCCTGTTGAGCAAAATAAGCCGAATAGTCCTGTCCCTGGGCAGCCTGAGATTAATAATGTCCTGCCGTGCTTCACTCATCACGCCCTAAATAAACATCCGTATCCTCGAGCAAAAAGAGTAAGGTGCACAAATGCTTCACAAAACGGGCACAAAAGGAATGATGATCAAAAAGGGACGGCTCACCTGTTGAGCATAATAAGCGGAGTAGTCCTGTCCCTGCGCAGCCTGGTTGTAGTAGTCGTACTGCGCTGCCTGACCTCCCGCTGCCGCCTGCGCCCCCGTAACCGCAGCCGCAGTCGCCTGCGGGGCTGGCTGCTGCTGCTGCTGCTGGGATGGGTCTGCGGTGTAACCCGCGTATTGGCCCTGTAAGAGCGACGGGAAATGGTCAGAAAACATCGTTAAACCCGAAAAGAAGCGAGGCGAAACAGGGAGATAGAGAGCAAGGAAGCTTCGCCTAAGGGCTCTGCCTGGAGGGAACGGGAGCATTCGAAAGACGGGCGAAGAATTAAGATCCGAGAGAGAGATGGAACGACGGGTCGATTATGGGCGGAGTCATAAATCTAAAAGCAAGAGGGCTTTGCATTGTGGCTGTGCAGAAGCGGACCCAAAGGTATCCAAAGACGAACAAAACGAGATGCGAGAGCAACACGAGAACGGCGAGACAAGAACGGTGTTGCCAGCAACAGAAGCAGACGAATGGACCAGCCAACTCCGCAGATAACGAGCACGAACAAGAAAAGGAGAGGATGAAGAAACCTGAGGAGAACTAAAAAAGGAGAAGGACTACCCACCTGCTGATTGTACTGCTGCCCATACTGCTGCATCCCCCCCTGGCCGTACCCCTGCTGCCCTGCCGTCGGCCCCCCCGTCACGCCTGCCTGCTCGGTAGTCTGCATCCCATACCCCTGCTGCGCATACGCCGCCTGATCGTACCCCCCCGTTCCATAACCCCCTCCTTGCTGACCGTAACCGCCTTGCTGAACCCCCCCTTGCTGCTGCCCTTGGATCGGGGCTTGGGTTTGCTGACCGTTGTAACCCCCGTAAGCGGCTTGTTGTTGCTGCTGCTGCGGGGGGTAAGTTTGCTGGGGTCCGGCGAAGCCCCCTGCCGCAGGGGGTTGGTAGCCGCCCGCAGCATAGGTGGGCTGCTGAGGGTAGAGCTGCGAAAAGAAAGGAAGAGCGACTTCAACGCACGCCCACGTGATCGGTGCTCCCTTCAGCGGAGTTTCAAAGAGTGAGGACTTTCTGGGCTGCTGACGGAGAGTGAATCAGCAACCTACTGTTCGACGGTCATCAAAAGGGCAGCACGCAGAAAAGAAGGCAACAAGCCAGCTGTTCAACAAAGTACATGTGCAAGCTGCGAAAGTCGGCTCCAGTTGGCTCACCTCTGTGCCTGCCACCTGGCGCCCCGCTCCAGCCATATCCGAACCCTGTGCACAAGACTTCAATTTGTCAGGTGGACTGCAAATCCTGTGAGAGGTTTCTAATTCGCACACCACCTGGTGGGCGGCGGAAGAAATGCACTTATATGAAAACTCCGGAATAATACCCACCTCATAATGTTACATACTTTTTGAACCCCTTTGAAAGGGGCACGAGGCTTACAGGCACCATTCTTGTATGATATGGAGACCAGATTATAAACGTCTCAAGAACCTGGTCCACTGATGTGGCAGCGCAAACCGAGAAGTCGACTTCTGAGAGAAACGCATCTAACTTGGTGACAATTGATTGCGGATTCGATTTAGCCTCTATTTAGCCTGTCTCTGTCAAGCGGCAACCCTACCTCCAAGACATCATTGCTTACTTACCTGGAAGGCACCCCCGGCAGGAGCCCCCTGAGGTCCAGCGGCACGCGCAGGCATGCCGGACATAGGTGCTGCAAAGGATAGGGAGTTGATAGGGAGTTAAGTGAATGCTGTCAAGGAGCTGGCGAAGAGCCTAACTCTGTAAGGTCGTGGCTTCGAGACGAAAAGGCGCCATTCGAAAAGAGCAGCCAGCAGCTCCAAGAAAGGGGCCATCAAATGTGTGCAACAAGAGCGGAACCATTCTGTCTTAGGGACAGGGAATGGACACCGCACCATCACCAGGTTGGCCAGGAGTACATGGATTGAAACCGTTAGACAAGAAGCCTCAACATCCGAAAATCACTGACATCCAGACCATAAAATGTTTCTTCCCAGCCACTCACCCTGCCGCTGCGGCCCAGCCCCCCTTGGTCCCTGCGCACCACCGAACGCAGGCCTCGCACCTCCCGCAACCTGCCCAACCGGCGCAACCTGTGGCGCGCCAAATCCTGGCCGCGCCTGGGGGGCAAATCCGGGCCTTGCCGCAGCCCCCCCAGCAAAGCGCACCGGGCCGGGGGCCGCGTCTCTGACTGGTCCCTGGAAAGGCCTCTGCTGGAAGTTGCCGAACCCTCCCCCCTGGAAAGGCGGGCCCTGCTGTTGGGGGGGGCGGTATTGCCCCGGGGGGGAGCCGAAAGTGCCGCGAATGTTCTGCTGGGGGGGGGAGCTAAAGGGACGAGGACCGTTGCGGTTGAAACCCTGCTGGGGGGGGCCGCGCTGGTTGTAGGGGATGGGGGGAGGAGAGGAGAAACCGGTGCGGCCGCCGCGGGGGCCGTCGCGGGGGCTGATGACGGGGCGGCGATCAAACTGCAGAAACAGTGATGTTGCGTTCACGAGGATGATTTTGAAAGCGTAAGATGAAGCGTGTGTTCTTGTTAAAAGAACACGGCTTGGGATACGGACGCCCACTCGGGTCTTCTTAGCCTCCGCGTCAGAATCTACAAAGTTCCGCTGTACATTAACATAAGCAGCAGAAAACTCGATGCAATGCAGCTTCTGACCCTATGGTTGCCGTCAACAACAGGTATAAACCGCCTGAACGCGATTCCGCAAGCGCCAAAGAAGCAGGCGATCAGAACCCAGGAGAAGAATGACCCGTTTACAGGCTCCGCGTGCATCTACTCGTTACAATTTTCATACCTGAGGGCCTCTCTGCTGGGGTCCCCGATCGTCGAAGCGCCCCCCGGGCCGGAACGGAGCCCGACCCCCGTCCCTTCTGTCGTCATACCGAGGTCGGTCGAAGCCCCCCGCCGGCGACCTATTGGGACCAGGCCCCCTGAATGCTTGCCGCTTCGCCTTCTCCTGCGACCAGAGAACAAGTCTTTCAGCAGGGCAGCAGGAGAAGTTAAGGGTAGACTCATCGGTTAGACGGGGTGTGAAAGACACATGCTGGTGACATGATATCGAGTAAGGTTACAAAGAAATCGGCAATGTCAATAAAACAACAACGTTTCTGAAGAACAGAAGGATGATAGGGAGGGAGCCTATGATTCCAACCTTGAGACCCTTCAATTGCCTTGTTGCCCTAAGAGGGCATCTTAGATTTTGAGAGCACTGGAGCGATGTCAGCGAACGGGATGGCATCATTGGCACATACCCAACTCGAAACAAGCAAGGATCTTTAACTCACTGCTGAGCACTGGAGCGATGTCAGCGAACAGGCTGGCATGATTGGCACATACGTAACTCGAAACAAGCAAGGATCTTTAACTTACTGCTGCTGCCTTGGTTGGGTTTGCAAACCCGACCCGAAGACTGCTTCCGTTCAAAGTGTGCCCATCAAGCTGACGCCAAGCTGGAGTGACAACCACGCAACATTTCAGATTGTGATAGGCGCAGAAATGATGGCATTGATACGCTGCTTCGGGTTGAGTTGGTTCTCACAAAACATAGTGATGTTCTGGCAAGATGTCACAAGCAGTCTCCAGATCCAATCTGATGACCTGGTCACAAAAGGCCAAGGCAAGGTACAAACAAGGCAATTGAGCCAACTAACTCCTTCTCGACAGCCAGAGACCATGGCACAACTGGCGAATGAGACAGTCGAAAGCAAGAAACGGGTCAGAAAGGGTGTCTTTCCCTGTGGAATACAACGGAAGAACGTACTACCCTTGAAAGAACCAGAACTTGCCTTGATCGGCGTGGAGGGAATGTCGGAAGTGCACGAAGGCGTAACCCTTGAGGTTGCCCGTGTGGAAGTCCGTCAACACGTATACGTCCCTTACAGGACCGCCATGCGACTCGAATGTCTTCCACAAAGCGTCGCGAATCTGCAGGGGGAGACATCGAAACGTCACCGAGTCGACTTCTGGAAACGAAGGGCAATCGCAGAGGATGCGCACGAGTGTGCACGAGTGTTCCTTTCTTCACAAGGTCACATTGGTTCCCATTTGCATGCCCAGTCCAAAGGCAACGGGTCCATGGAAAGCGACCGAGAACATCTTCTTTGCATGGGTCGTTCGCCAGCAACGCTCCTCAGATGCTAAATCACAAGCAGATTTGAAACGCAACTCACTATCTCATGAATCCTGCACAATAAAAGCCCGATGTGCATCGCTCACATTCGGCAAGTCCCTTGGGAGGTGGTCCACAAACAGCGACAGCGAAAACATCTCGTTGATCTGGTACGCATCGCCCGGCTCCACCCGGATGAACTTGCCCCCGTCAGACGGCGTCTTCCCGCCCACCAGCTTCGCCTTTTGCGCCTCGTCCTTGTGAGTGAACTCCACGAAACCGTAGCCCTTGCTCTTGCCCTCCGCGTTTTTCACAATCTGCACACAGGCCGCACGCATGGTCAATCTGGGCAACAACAAACGACGTCGAGTTTAGTACCAACCGTACAGAGGTGTTTTCTGATCCGTAGCCCTTGTTCCTGCCTTCACGCATCCTGCGGAACCTGCCCGAGAGCGCAATCGTCATCCAATCGTGGTCCCGTAACACAAGTCCGTGCAAAGCTTTCCTTCGCCTCCGATGCTGAGTTTCTGAGCAACAAACGTCGGCCGAATGATTGAAGTGGTGCGGGCTGAAATTTTTCAAATTTAGCAGGCACAAACCGGCAACTGTGGAAGTGCTAATATGGAAAAGCCGTTGATAAAGAAGAATTCCATATACCTCGGGATTGGAAGGCGTAAAGTAACATGACGTGGCTGCTTTCACGGCAGCAAATGGGAATCAGCAAAGGCACTTAAGAAGGGACTTCAAGAAGCCTTGGCTGACCTAGCTGCTTCTTTGCACGGTTGATCAACCAAGACGAGAGGCTGCATACGAGCCAGGAAAGACAGAAGGCAGATCTTATAATCTAAAATGGAGAATAAAGCCATCTGCGAAAGCAAAGCCTTTGCGACAGGAGGGATGCTCACGAATGCGCGCTGGATCTCTCCGTGGCCCTTGAAGAACTCCCTCAGTTCCTCGTCGCCCATCGCCTGCGGAGTGTTGCCCACGAAGAGCAGCGTGTCCGGCCGGTAGCCCTCTAGCTTCAGCTTCTGCTCGTTGATTTCCAGCTCCCCTACTGCGTCCTTGAGCTTTGTCACCGCGGCTGTCTCTTCTTCCTCGCTCTTGGTCAGCACGTCCAGCCACACGTTCGCGACCTTCTTGTCCTCGTCTTCGAACGAGATGGTCTTTACTGAAACGTGCGCAGACAGCGCTTCGCGGAGTTCCTGTTGGACAATGGTGCTGTGTTAGGGGCTGACTCATCTAGCCCAGGGAGGCTGTCAGATTGCGCATAGGAAACCACTTCAAGGAAGACTGTGCTGAAAGGAATGCAAAATTGCTTCGGAGCACTGGCGATAACAGGCCACTCGAAATAGCCACGATAGTATCATTGAAGACAGTTGACAATTGTAGGGGCAGCCCCTGCCAAGACAAAACCTCATCAGGTGCCAAAAACGCCTCCGTGAAACGCCCCCTATTCTTCAAACTTGACTAGGGGACTATTAGTAGAATGAAAAGCCCAAAACAACACAATGGCCGCAAGTAAAGTGGTTTCAGTTCGTCGCAAGCTTCCCTAAATGCCACTCGAGGAGACCTTTTTGCTGAATGAACGACACTCTGCGATCGCCAGCTGCGCCAAATGATGCCAAATGGCACCTACCTCTTCCGTCACTTTCCCGCCCATTCCCGTCACTCGCACGCACGGCTTCTGGTGCCAGTGCTCCGGGATCTCGAACGTTTCGTACTCCGGCGGGGGCAGCTCCGGGCCCTTCTGCTCACCCCCCGCCTGCTCTTGCTCCTCTCCCTCAGCCTTAGCCCCCGTCCCCGCCTTCGCGGCCTCGATCGCAGCAGCCAGAGAAGGCACCGCCTTCCCGCCTGCGGCCTCGGCACCGTCCGCGCCCTCTGCCGTCGCTTCTTCCGCCTTCTCCCCAGCTTCTTCTGCCTTCTGCTCAGCTTCGTCCTTCTCTCCAGCTTCGACAACCGGCTCTCCAATCGCTTCATCTGGCGTGCCTGGCGCCAGCTCAGCCTTCGGCTCGCTGTCCTCGACAGCGGGAGCTTCCGCCGCGTCCCCAACAACAACGTCTCCAGCGACAACGTCCCCGTTCTCGTGGTCTCCGTTGGCCACCGTCTCCGCCTCCACCGGTTGTGCTACTAAAGACTCGGCAGCAAGAGCTGCAACCTCAGCGAGCGACGCAGTTGCGTCTACGACCTCTTCGTCTGCGACCCCCTCATCTGCTACCGGATCGTCAACTTCCGGCTGAGGATCGTCGCTCGCATCCACTGGTGCGACGTCAACGGCAGGCGCTTCCTCGTGTACGGGCGCAGGCTCTTCAACTGCTGCCGCAGCTTCTGGAACTGGGGCTTCAGCTGTGTCACTTGTCTGCAGGAAAAGAGATCATTGGTATCGCTGTTAGGTCTGCTTGGTGGGTCATATGCGTGGCAATTGAACGAACAGAGTTTTCCAGAATACAAACAATCTGGCCTCGAAATGGCAAGCAAAGCTGCACTTATGCACTTGTGAATGGACTTGCTGTGTGAAACTCAAGTCCCGTACATCAGTGGAAGGCTACTCAGGCAGCTATCAACATGACCCTTCGGAGTAGTACTATCTGCTCAACAGAGAAGACAAATACATCGAAAGCAGACTGTTTGATGCAGTGTGGACCCAGTAGGGCACCAACAAGAAAGTAGAGACAAGGTTCAGTGACCCTCAGACAAACCCACATAAAAGCAACCTGCCGTCATGCTAACGCATCCCGGAACCTCCAGCAGCCCAGTAGAAAACACAGAGACTAACCTGGATGTCCATTTGCGTTAAGCTCTCATCGGGCGCTCCAGCTGTCGGGGTCTCTGCAGCGCTTGGAGGCTCCGAACTGGTCTCCACTGGTGGAGGGACCGGGGTTGCGGCCTTTCCCTTGACGACTTTCAGCTCGGGGCAGCTTCTCTTGTTGTGACCGGTCCTGCCGCAGTTGCTGCAAGTCACCATGGTGACAAAGGGCCCCTGCAGGGCAGAGTCCAGTCGGTGAAGGGCCCAATTCCGCCTTAGCTCAATTCATTTCTGGATCAATACTCACGCTGGCGCCGCAGAGACACCAGGCTTCTCGATGGCAGCCTATAAGCAGGCAACCTTTGCCAGACTTGAGTTCATGGCAACTGGGACGCCGTCGCAATCTGTGGTCTAGAAGGACCAAGTAATGCCACATTGGGTGGCGCCCCTAATCAGTGCGTGCCCTGCATTTCCTGCTTTAAGAAAGGAGGATATGCGGCCTCAGGCGTACCTTGCACTCAGATACCTAAGACGGACCGCTGAGCAGGGGTACAGCAAGGCTGTCGGTGAGCTGATCGCTAAGCTGGCCACACTCCCAAGGGCGCCTTTAATACTGCAAAGATAGGGGACTCTAAAAATCAGAATCAGGATTCCCGTAGAACAATCATTGACAGAGTGTTTTCATTGTTGGCGCCTTGAAGCACCACTTTTAACCAAAAACTTCTCGTGACCTTCGAATACAAACACCGTGAGGCGATGGACAGCATCAAGAGGTGTCTGCAACCAGATATGGATCCACCGAACGAGTGCGACCAGTAAAGCATGGGCATATTAAGGTGGCAGAAACGAGTCAATAAGCAGTCTGAAGGTACTTCCCGTTAGTGTCCCAACATTCGAACCACTAAAGCGGCCCTTGATCATAGACGCCGAGCACGTCCCCCTTTGTCAGGCTGATAGCGTACCCCTAATAAAGCTAGATGGAAGTCTCAGGCGGATGTGCCAAAAAAAGCAAACCGCGAGATCAGTCGTCAGACAATGCACATTAGTGTGTCCAAGCTTAACCAATTTGACGCTTACTTCGACTCTTCCATCTATAAACAGTTGATATGAAACAAGACAAAAATCCAGCACTGGAGTGTTGCAGACAACGAGTCATGCCCTCCCAAACTCTTATGCCGGATTCTCTGCTTCCTCCCACCATCGGACCTTCAACGCCAGCGCAGTCAAAAGGGTGTGTGACCGATGCATGCAGCGACTCTGAATGCATGTGCATACGCATATGCTTGTAGTGTGCATACTACCTGGAGGCGCTGTGTCATCGGAGCATAGATTTGCTCCTGCAACAAAACAAGGGGTTTTCTGTTGTATGTCCTCACCTTTGTCCCAGAGTGCACCGGTCTGTGCCCAAGGATTGCAAAACCCCAATAGCTGTCCTGCAATCGCAACCGACCGCTGTGATTGCCGTCAAGGGCCGTACTTTAATCTTCAGGCAAGGTGAACGTGAGGACTATTACCACCATGTACCTTTACTTTTGATTAAATTGAAACAGCGTCAAACCTCCAGAATGCGATCCAATGGTGGTTCAATACTGCCTCCTTGCAATACCGCCTTCAATGGGGCTCAGCACGCCAATTAGAGTCTGCATCCAAGATCTTCCTCTTCAGAAGACGTGTTTCCCAGTGCTGTCATTTGCCCTCGCTTCGGCTGGAGCAAGTAGCAGATTACCATTATCACCACGTCGCCCCTAAATTCCACGCCCTTTTTGCAGTATAAGTGCATTTATTCAGATTATCTTGGAAATCCTCAATGCATACTCGACTCTTCGAATCTATCGAAGGAACCACAGAAATGCTAAAATGCTGGAAATCTCACTTCGGTCTTCGACCGTATGATTTCTACCTGGATCGGAGAGCCACCTGTTCCGATGCAAGCAGACGCAGGCTCTAGCAGTCCATCTCGTAGCATTGGCAAGCACTTGAGAGCAAGGCTGCAAGGTGTACACAGTCCAGCGCTAGCACTTCACGGTTCACCTCCTCCATCCAGGGTCCGGCACATCCACTTCTCCTCTTTCAAGATTGCTTCGCAAGAGCGCAGGGCAACTGCAAGTGCGCCCTCCGTTGCACTGGCGCATTGATCTTGGTACCACCCGCTAAGACTCAGGGCAATGGTTCGATGGAGATGCCATCAAGTTTTGGCAATGCTGGAGGCACAAGTGAGTGCATCATCTGGACAATTTCGGTCTGCTTTTTGTCTAATTGTATCTCTGAACCCTCTTTCTTGTGTTTTCTGGACACGCGCTGTGCTTTCCTTATCATCAATGCAACCTATCTCTGGGTCTACATCCTCCAAGGCATCGTAGTAGGATGCTTGCCAGCTGCTGCGAGTGCTTTGCTTCATTTGGAACGATAGTTGGTGGTTTGCATCTGTGCTCTGAGAAGGTGATTCTGGTATGCTTGTGGTGCATCCTGGTCTTATCACTTTAGGCAGTCACCTCTTGGGGCGCATGTCAGCAATCTGTGCCCTGTCTTGGATTGTTATGATCTGCATTGCTTTGAAGCACAGGAATCAAAGTGGTAATGGCGCACATCTTATTGTGTTGATTCCAGCTTATTGTTCGTCACTGCAGAGACAAAGGTGTTGAGTGCGACCAGAACAATGGAGTGTCCTTCACCATGTCATGGTCTGTGGCCTGACGTACTGAGTGGAGGACAATCAACAAGACCTCAAGACCGAATGCAGTGGTGGTTTACTTCATAACCACCCTAGCTTGGGAAAATTTGCTTGGTAAGCATTTCAGCTTTTGTACCCTTTGTCTCAAGCGTGCTATGGTGCTGAAGCTGCTGTGAACAAACCTCAAAGTCCTGCAACTGCATCTTGTCTGCTGAGTTTTCTCATAGTTGCTTGCTTTCCTGACTCCCGTAGCTGAACTTCAGAGTTGTCTGCAAGCTGGCTATGAGGGATATAGAACCAGAATCGAATCTCTTCTCTCAGAACGTTCTGAGCAACTGCCACGGCCTAGGCTTTGTCGATGCATTGGTTTCTGGTGTTGCACTGATACCACCCAATTTCCTAGTGGGTGGTTGTACCGGCGCTCTCTCTTACTCAGGTTTGTGTTCCTTGTTTGCAGATCTATATCAATGTCATCACTGCTTTGAAGAGAAGGCCAAATGGACGACATGATCCAGATCAGTGCTGGCTGGAAGTGGTGGGAGACGTCTGGAAGCCACCGGACACCATGGCCAACTCAACCTGCTGGCATAGTCTCGAGCCATCCATTGGTAAGCGGCCGCCCTTATGCCACTTCAGAGATGTCCCCTGTTTCTCTCTTCGTTGCACCGACAAGTTAGAAGATGATTGTTAAAGATTCTCGTTGAAAGGATCTGCAATTATCGCCGCATTAGTTGCTGAGCAAGGCTCCCGAACTACGCGTCAACTTCCATTCTTCCACTCCTTCTGGAGCTAAGTGCTTTGTTCAATGTACGTACCTTATTTTTGAAAGAAACTTGGCTTCTCGAAGGAAGGTATGAGTGGTTCAGGAAGAGCCGTTACCGCTTCAAAGTTTCCATTCTTTCCCTAAAGCTGATGCCTTCTCTATTCTTCTGGACCTGACAACTGCTTGCTTGACTGGCCGCAGTTTACCCACGACCTTGAGCTAGTCATTGTATGCGAAATCTCCCCTGGTAGTTGAGTTCGGGGTCCAATTGCTGACAATTATGCATTGAGGGCAAGGCTCTGGGCTTTTGTTTCTTATGAAGATGCATCGACCCACTTGCGACGTAAAAATGTTTGACCACACATTTCCAATTCTGGTCTAAGCAAACTCTTTTACTGGTGCAGGACCAACCTCAATCTGGGCTTCGGAAAGTTCCTGTCATTGCGGCTGCGGAGGCTGTTCCGGTTGTTAGGTAGGAAGTGGTGAGATTGCAGAGCACAGTCCGCAACTAACATTTGTGGAATGGGTTTCTTCTGAGGGCAGGCGAACCAGCACCTTTTGCAGCTGAGTCCTAGAAGCTTCTGGTCCTGCCACTGTTGGCTTTTGGAGGTAACGGGGAAATAGAATGGTTCACAGTTTACAAGGTACGGAGTCTGCTTTCATATGAAGCTCCTGACGGCAATGGTTTCTTTCGCCCGCTCGACTGCTTGTCTTGGGGTTCTCTCTGTGAAATTTTCACAGCTTCTTCCACCCTATGATGTTTGATTGAGATTTGCTTGCTTGTTTACTGAGAAACCCTTCAGCCTTCCTGCCACAGCTGGGGTAGCCTGGTAATGACCTCTTCTGTCAAGGTTGGCTGAGATCAACCTTCGCTCCCTTGATAGGAAGCCAACGGCCTGCTCATGGTCGGATGGTGCCATTTTGAGCGATGATATCTGCATCCGTTTCGAAGTTCGAAGCTGCTCTGCTTCAGCCTTTGACCATAGAGGTTTTGGGTACTGAGTTTATCAGCTTCTCTTAACCAGATTCTGCATTGAGGATCACAAGAGGACTACAAAATTTTCTAACAAGTCGACGAGTAGGGGTTGCTGATTTGATCTTTTGGATGCAGGATCTGGACAGTACAGCACAGCACCCAGCGAAGCTACTTGGTGGTCCTACACTGATTGTCCAAGCTACTTGGTGGCCCTACTAATCCTTCTTCTGAAGCTACCATGGACCGCGATCGCCAAACCATCTCCAAACCAAACCCTTTTAAGGTGAGTCTTGAAAGCTTTTCTGTTTTGTTTAGGCGTCGCCGTTCTGCAGTTCTGAGTCTGGTAACAGTTGCAGCTTGAAAGCGGAAGTTCCTCCAAAGAGTTTTGGCGTTTCAGCGGGTCTGGCGTTTGCAAGAATGTGGAATGGTTGGTGTTGTGGTGAAGCTCTGCCTTTTACTATGAGGTCAATGGCAGTGCTGCAAGCATGATGAGTGTGCCAGTCATGTTTTCAATTGTCATTACTCTCTACTTGAATTATGCCATGCGAAAGTCGGTGCATCCTGTCTGCTTCTAGTTCATGCTCCTGCCAACCAGGAGAGGAAAGATCCAACAGATCTGGTTTCTGTCTTATGAGCTTCTCTCCATCTGATACCCTTGTGTATGACCGCCCCTCCATGTTTGGTAGTTGGGTTTGCTTACTACAATTGTCTTAAACAAATGGTGGACTATGATGACACAGACGATACTTCGTCCTGCTCATGTGAGCTACGGCAATGAGCACTAATTCTTTCGCTCCTATCTGAGTCCATTATCATAAGAACCTTTTGTTGGCAGGTAGAGTTGCTATGATGAAAAACAGTGTTTCGGACTAGAGTATCCGAGCTACTTCGTGGCGTTGAAGATACAACTCTTGGCTGTCTGAGCTCAACTCTACCATGTATACATTAGCTTTTCGCGTCTTTCAAACAAGAGTTTGCTTGTAGCCTGCTTGAGCACTTCTTCACAGGAAAGATGAAAAGCTGAGTTGTGTTTCACCAGTGGAAACTTTGTCCCGCCCGATGATGGTTAATTTCAAATAAACTCCTGACCGCTCTTCAAGAGCACATGGAAACCGATCGATAGGTCTGAGGGCTCTTGATATTGTTCTACTTTTATTCAATTCTCTAGGATAGTTGCCTCACTTGGCTCTGTGTTGAAAGGCCCGTGATGAAGAAAAAGACACTTACCTACATTGCCTGACTCTTGATGAGCACAAAGAGAGACCTGATCTGAGGCCTTGTTAGAACTCCCCTTACCACTGCTGATGTATTTGCTTTTCCTCCTTTAAGCTGTTGTTTCCTTCTGCTGCTGCTTGCACCACTTCCATCATCAGTCCTCTCTTCCTCTCCACTGGGAGAGTGGCTATCTACTTTGCTCTTGTTCTGTGATTGCCCTATACCGTTTCAGGGTCTAGACGTGGCAGATATGATGACAAGACCTTTCCAAGTGTCTCAATGACGATTTCATGACTACAATTCACTGATCTGCCAGACTTTATGGGTGCTGATATCCTCAGTTTGTGAATCATTGTCTGAGAAGTTGGGGAAAGTTTCCTTTGAGATGAAACTGTTGTAGGGAAATAGCCCAATGAAGATGCTGTTTATTTGGATTTGTCTGCTTGAAGGTTGGTCAAACGGCGAGTCTGCAAAGGCTTCTCTGTGTTCTTTGCTTGAAGGTTGCACAAGCGATACGTCAGCGGCAGGCGTTGCTATGATGATTCACGTTAAATAATCAAGCTCAACAGAGCTGAACAAGGCCTTCCAACCTTGGCTGTTGTGAACATTCAATTCTGAGCAACAGCGTCCCTGACAACCCCTTTCTGCCTTTCATGTGTTTCTGTTCGGTTTCTACTTCGTTGGATGGTGGCCTTGTTTGAAATTCACTTTTTGACCGGCCTTTCTGCCAGAGCGTGGACGATGATTAGCATATTTCGGATTCCCTCTGACAGTAATGATGGACCGACTGCAAAGCCTGACACGCTCATGTCATCTGCGCTTGATGGCAGATAGGCAGCCTGACTACGTACTCAAAAGAGTGATTCTGTTTCTAGAGTCGACTCTCTCTCTTTTTGACCATCCGTTCGGGTATCTTGTGTAATAGCCAGGGTTTGTGCTTGAGTATTTGAAGTACCTCTCTGAAAGGTATGTCTGTAAACGTTTCTTTCATTACTTGTCAAGCTACAACCCAAAGAGGGGTCATGCCATTGCCAGGTGGCCCTCAACGCAACAACTAGTAGCAAGAGTACTTGAAGCAAATGGCTGGTTGTGGTCTTCAATGCACACCCCAGTTACCGCGCTTCAGATATTCAGTATTTGACATCCTCGATAGCACTTGCTCGACCTCAACCACTTGTTTTTTCAATTCAGCCACTTCCTTGTCAAGTGTGAGTCATGCTTGAGGGCCACCTTTTGGACATGTATATCAGAACAGCGTCTGATTTTTGAAGGACAAGGATTTTTGATTTTTGATCAGCCAATGAATCCACAAGGCGCAGTTCTTGTCCCCTGTATGGTGTAGCGGATCTTTCTGCTTCTTTCAAAAAAGCACGTTCTCTATCAACATCCGGCTGTGACGATAACCAAGCTCCCTCTACTGACCAAGTCGTGGGGAAAGCGCTGGCGGAATCGAACAATTACAAATTGCCAACACTGAGCCGCAACAGCGTGCTTTTGCTTTTTGTCTTGTTCCTGCTTGCTCCGCATAACTGCACAATTTCACTTCTTTGTTTCAAAATTTTCCAACAGTTTGTAGCTTCCGTTGTCAGGTCGGTTCAGCGCCATTCCAACTCCAAGCTGTCATGATTACCTCTCTTGCAATCCACAGTTCGCTTCAGTCAACCTCTTGTTATCGAACAAAACCAGGCCATCATGTGCTGTGATGAAACACACCTTTCTGACACCTCTTGTGCGAGAGCAGCAAGTGCTGCTCGGTGAACGCATCATGCACCACTCTGAGCACATTCGGAACCCTTGGCAGCCTCCTTTCCAATTAACTCTTGTGCCGTTCTTCCTCTGGCTGACAGGCTGCTGGCAATGGTTTGTTCTTTTAAAAAGGCATGTTCATTCAATTTTTGCAGCTCAAGTTCAGTAAGGATTGCAGTTTCGTCTTTGCGGAGCTTCCAGTCCCCGACTCGGTTGACTTGCTATCGGGGTAAGGAGAAGAAGTCTCAGTTCTGACCCCCAATTCGGTGACTGGTCATGGTTGTTGTTTGTGTTGCGCTGGTTGCCAATGATGACCAAATTAGCGGATTTCGCTGAAGGCTTCGGCCGCTGTGGTCATCCATGTTACACACTCTGAGGCAACCCAGAAAGCACCCTCTTTTCGAGGATCCTTTCTTCTTTTGTTCTCTGGAGCATCTGCTGCTCCTGTCATGAAGGCCTTGCCGTTTGATTTTGGCAAGCAATAGTTGTCAGCTGCTTCGTGTGAACCTCTTGTTAGCAAGTTTTGAGTCCCGGTGTTTGTTTCTTGGTCGCTCACAACCGCTCAGGGCTCAAGCTTCACAGCCCACTTTATGTATTCAATCTTTGGCCTTCCTTCGCTCTGCAACCCCTTCAAGTCACGGCCTGTGATGATACATTCAATATGGAATTACCGGCTAAGGGTTTCGGCCTCTGCTGAGAACTGGCTGCCTGAGGCCTGTGATGTCGGCTTTCTTTCAGACTGAAATTGTCAAAGGCATCCTGATACATCTTTCGGGCTGTGTTTAGAACGTCAGTATCTGTCCACTTACAAGATTCTCCGTTTTTGTTCGACCTTTGAAGTAAGTCTGTTTCGCTCGTCCGGGAATTTTTTAGAATTCAATCTGTTTGTTCAGCCTTCCTGCCACAGCTGGGGTAGCCTGGTAATGACCTCTTCTGTCAAGGTTGGCTGAGAGCAACCTTCGCTCCCTTGATAGGAAGCCAACGGCCCGTTCATGGCCGGATGGTGCCATTTTGAGCGATGATATTCTGACCCCATAACCTCACAATTGCCTTCGCTTATGTAGGCGTGAATCCTCGAACTTGCTTATGTATGCAGGAAACGTTGCCACTTTTGTTCCAGAAGGAGGGGCAACTCGACACTGATGTTGTGAATCGAAGCAAGGATTTGAGAAGAGATTGTGGGCTAAGTGTGGGCGCATGCACTTTGCAGGACTTTCGGTGGGCGCCAACACGTACCTTCCTACTACCTCGAATGACTGACGCCGCGCCCCGACTACCTGTTCCGGCCAGCATAGAGCAGGTAAGAGGGCAACGATTCTTGTGCTTGATAGAGCCTCCCTCTTATTTCAATTCCCAAAGTATCCCTTTGCAGTTTCTGTCGTCCTTCTGCTGCCACAGTATTGAGTACTGCGTTCTGGGTTACTACTATTCACGATCAGTCTGCTTGGTCGAGGTTTTGTTGGCTCCAAAATTCTGTGTCTCTGACGTTTGCTGACCTCTTCTGCTTGCACACTGGAAAACTCGGTGATGACACCTGTCCTGATAGGAAGTGCCGTATGACACTACACACTCAGTCTCTGCTAGCCTGCCCCCGGCCCCTCGCCAGGGGGGCCGCCAGGCCTCTGCGTTTCTGGGGGATGATTTTAGACAGGTCTTCTGAGAGTTTTCCAGAGGGCAAGGAGGTGTTGTCGGCCGCAACCAGCCAGTCAAAATCTGCTTTTCATAATAGTCTGGCTACTTCCCGATCTCTTGTTTTTGAGATTCTTTTGCCAAAACCGCAGAGTTTTTCAGTGAGCAGAGCCGTAGTGGTATCCTTAAGCAGTGTCCATTTGTGTCCATTTCCGGCATTCCTTCTGGGCAGGGTCAGCGTTGCTGTTGTCTGAGTTCCTGGGGGTTTGTATGCTTTTCTGAACGTGTCTTTTCGTTTGCTCGCCACATACCAATACCTCCGATTGTCCGTATCTGGGGTTAGTAATGGCCGTGGCGGCAGAGTAAGCCTTGGTAATACTAATGGTTTAGGCAGCTTTGCTGGTCTTATATTCATTGGGAAAGCCATGGAACATTTTAATGTACAACGCTCGGATAAGCTATTGGACTCTGGTCACGGTTGCCATTCTGTGGCTGACTCTTTGTCCTGGACTGTCTCGAAGGTATTTCTGTAGTTGATTCTAAGTTGCTGCTTCGACGAATGTTGGGGGTTGAACGTGTATGGCTTTGGGGCTTTTCGCCCCTTCCAGATTTCTTGAGAGCACTCTTTTCCCTTTCTGAAAAGCGCCTGCTGTCCTTACGGAAACCCCAAACAGGTCAGCCCGATGCTTTGGAAGACCAAAGGATGTTTGTTTGGTGTCACTATTTTTGGCGCCCGCCTCAGCAGCCGTGCTCACCAAGTGCTCACTTTCGTCCTTGCACACAGGGTCCTTGCGGAGTCGACACGTGGCGTTTCCGTTGAGGGGGAGGCTCGAGAGAAGCAGTCAACGGAGCCTAGGCGGGGCGATGCTTGGGGCTCAGATCAGATAAGGCGGCTTACGAACCGTTTCATTAAGTTTCCCGCTTCTTTGACCGGAGTCTTTACTTGCACTCTCTCTGTATGCCCAATCTGGTCCGTTCGAAAAATCAAGGCTTCCAACTTCTTCTCTGACGACTGAATGTTGACCATGTGAAGCACTTTTTCCCTTCCCCATCTCCAGAATCAGTTGAGTCCTTGTCTCGATTATGTCCGCTTCTTTTTGTCTGCTGCGCTGTTCTGATTCTCCGTCTGATCACCAAAACATAAGGGGCTGTAGCTTAACGGTAAAGCGCCAAGCACTGCGAGGGAAACGGCAGGCCTAACGGCCCAGTGCAAAAATCGCCAAACGCGAAACCTCAAACCTCAAACTTCTCAGGCAACTTGGAACCTTCTCGGTTCCTTGTCGGAGCCACGTTTGCAAAACAGATAACGCGGAGTCCTTTGGCTAACGTCGTTGAACGCCTAAACCGGGGGCTAACCAACGCAAGATGACCGTGCCACAAATCAAGCACGTAAGGGACTTTTCCGGTTGCTGCAAATCCCGCACGCCGAGTTGACCCGTGCTCTGAACCGGCAGAAACGGGATTCTTCTGAAACGGTTTAAACGCCCCCCCAGGCACCTCGACTTGAACAATCGCCTTGGATTTCCGCACCTGTGCTTGTGACGTCGGCAGAATTCCGCTTGTGCTCTTGGGACTTACAAACGTGCCAATCAAACGCTGGTTAACACAAACCGCGGCCCAAATCGCTGCAAATCAAACTTCGCAGCCCAACCTGCTGCAGAAACAAACCGCAGTTAAATGCTGCTAAACCCAACTTCGCAGCCACCACGCTGCCAACTGCACTGTCGAATTCAGGCCCCACTAAAAAGGTCAGAAGGAACGTGTGTCGGTCTGCTAGCTCTATGCCCCTTGGTGGGTACGGGCAAAAACAGCGACCAAAATCATGCATGCATCCAACTCGACCGGGTTCTCAACTGAGTCACGTTGATGCCACGAATCGCAGTGCTGAGAGATGTGGGTTCGAATCCCACCAGCCCCATAACTTCGAAACTTCCTTCCTTCTTATTTTCTTATCGTTTGGGCTTGGCATTTTGGCTTTCTCAAATTTTGAGTATCTTTCTTCTGAGATTGACGTGCTTGGACCTTTTTTTGGGATTGTGTTGCAAGCTTCGGCCCTACTTTGCCTTTGCCCCTTGATGCGTTTCATCCAAATTCGTCAGAGCAGAATGGTCGGGCAAATGACTAAGAACGCCTCACAAAGTGTGCTTTTATCGGCCTTGTCACACTTCTTTGCCCATTCTCGGCGTGTGGTCATAGCTTTGATTATGGGTCTCAAAGTGGGACTGAAGGCGCTCGTCTTTTGTGCAGAAATTCGGTGGGGCCGTCCAGCCACCTCAAGCGAGCCGTCTGGAAGCGTCCGTCGAGCCACGTCAGCCGTCCGGAAGGCGTCCATCAAGCCACGTCAGCCGTCCGGAAGGCGTCCGTCAGTCCACGTCAGCCGTCCAGACTTCTCCGCTAAGCGACGACAGGCGTCAAAACTTTGCGGTTGGTCTCCCGGGGCTGGTAAGGGGGGCTCGGGAGAAGAGCGTCAGGACAGGTTTGCTAGTTGCAGCCGTGCGCTGTTGCGCGCCTTTCTGATCTGTCCTGCTGTATTGTACGTTCCTTTCTGACCCGAAGTGAAATGCGGCTTCGCTTTAGCTCTCTGTATTCCGTCTGTATTTCCTCTTGAGTCGCTATCCTTTCCTGCTTCGGGATGCAGCTTCTGGTCCGTGGAAGTCTTCAGAAGTAGCATCAGAAAGTCTGCCTGGCAAAGTTTCTTGCTTGGTTATTGCGTGCTTCTCTTGGAAAGTCGTCAGCCTGAGTTCGAATCTGACACCGGTCGCTCCATCTGCATCTTGTATCTTCGGTCATTCGAGTTTATTGCTGTGAGACTGATTACCACCTAAGGGGCTGTAGCTTAATTGGTAAAGCGCCAAAGCACTGCGAGGGTCGAGCAGTCCAGACATTCCTAAGCGGATTTCCCGCTACCACTGACGGCTAGAAGGTCCTCACGAGCGGTCTCTCAGAGTGACCCTCCAGAGGATTTGGTTCGCTTGCTTGTATGAGCAACTTTTGACCGTTCTAGTTGTTCAGTCAGAAAGCCGGAGTTTTCCAACCCGGCTGACATTTCAGACAAGTCTTGACACAAATCTCAAGTCAGTTCTCAACACAGTCCGAAAATCTGAACACAAATCCCAAGACAGTACTTGTCACACGAATCCCCAAGTTCAACAGATATCTCAAGGCAAGTCTCAGCACAGATCTTAAACACAAACCTCAAGACAGTCCAACAGTCTCAACACAACTTTCAAGACAAGCCTCGACACAAATCTCAAGACAATCCACAACTTTGAAACACAAATTCCAAGACAAGTCTCAAGCAATTGCAAGACACTTCTCAGAACCATTCTCGGAAGTATCCTCAAGACAATTCACAAACTCGGTTACAACCAACCGATCTCTCGCAAGTCTCCTGGTGGATATTCAAACGCGCCTTTTCGGCCGGCGACTTCCCCAAGCCGTTCCAATTCTCGGGTGACCTTCCAAACCAGATTCTCGGTAACACTCTACCGGTTTCTCCACGTCCACCGGCGGCATTCAGACCGCGGCAGTCTTCAAACTGGCCTTTCCGGCTTAAAGGACTAGGGGTTTGACTGAGCCGTCACGTTCACTCCTCGAAAAGACAAACCGTCAAGCTTTCCGCTTGGTCGACAGTCTACTCGAAACTGAGCTTCTCAACTCGAGACACATCCTACTGAGCTTCTCAACTCCTCGGTCGAATTCCGACTGAGCCACAGACAATTTCAAACCACTTCACAAGTGGGTTTGACAGACCCCTCGGTTGATTTCCGACTGAGGCAGACAATTCTTTTAGGATCAGACTTGAGCCCTTCCAGCTCAGCTTGACACTGAAACGCCAATCGCCGCGAATCGCAGTGCTGAGAGATGCAGGTTCGAGTCCTGCCAGCCCCCAAATCATTCTGCCCGTGTCTTTTTCGGTTGTGTTTTGATGGTTCTCCTTTGATCTGGTCTGCGTTTCCCTATCTGGTTTCAGTTTTGTGTGGTTGCGGTGTCTCCGTGGAAGTCTGTTATATTTTCATTTGAAGATGAGTGCTTTTTTCCTGTGCCTCGCCCGCTGACGCCTCCGAGTTTTCACCCCTGTGCCGCTCGTCGTGTCGTGCAGGCATCTTCACATGCTAGTCAAGTCGCGCTACAACAAGCAACAAGGGGTGCAGATTAGTCTTCGTCAGGTCGGGTCTTGAAAGAAGTGGGGTTGAGGTAGGGTAAGACCTCAATTGGATGCAGGCGTCGATGGCTAGGTAGCGATTATAGTTGTTTGAGCACTGGCAGTATTGGATCCGACTACAACAGCAAAGAGGACGGGTGGGTTTAGCAAAATGGACTGCTTTATGTTTATTTGCTAAAGAACGTCACAGGATTGCTGTCAAACCATGTGGAGTTTTGACGAACCTAGTTAGGCTTGTACTCTGTGCATGATACATCCTGTGCAAGACGGCCCAAGTCACAGGTCAGGACTTTCTTGCATCCGAGTCTGCAATGGTCGTGTATGATGTCGTGACATGAGGGCTGGTCCTCTGCATATGACCCGTCATGCCCGATGTCAGCCGCGTGCAGTGAACCTCAATCGGATGTCGCACGGTATGTTTGCCCACGTGATGTCCACGGTCTGTGCTCGGATGCGGAAAGGGGTCCGACGCTCCGACCAAGTTTCGATTGCACTTGTTTTCATGCATCGAGAAAGCAGAGCGCAAGCTTGCCCATCGCGTGTACGCTAATTAGGAGATACGATTAATATATGCGTCCAAGTTGCAACAGAATTAGTTCATCGGTCGCGATCGTTGATATATGTACTCAATCTGACGTATACACCCTTATGTTACTATAGGTAGCCATGACGGTTTGTCCCTGCATGGGCCTATAGCTTCAGATCATGCCAAGATTGTGTCATGCGAAACCATGCTGTGCGGCGGCCATAATAATTATGTTTGAAAGTATGGCGGCTCATGGTGTGCGGCCGGGGCCATGGCATGAGCCTCCAATGGTGCATCATGTCATGGACTCAATGATCCATTTCACATGCGAAAGCAGATTAGTATACTTTTTGTAACATCTATTGTGTACCGCGGGCAAGGCATTGCAGCAAGGTCAAGGTACCACGTCTAGGTTATTGCCTCAAGGCTGTATTGTGCCCTACTCAGTCAACAGATTGGATCTTAGTCCGTCGAAAATGGTCCACGTCTGACGTCATCGAGACTCGACAACGCCCTTCTCTTTCAGGCTTGCTTGCGTGTATGGGTAAAGCACATGCATCTGCAGTGAATGTATCGGCCCGAGATAATGGACAAGCAAGCGACTTGATCTGCAACAGATGAGCGTTTCGTTCTAGGCTGTACAACCGTCACTTGCTAGGGAGCTTACTGAATCTGGCTCTAGAGCAGAACCCAGGTACCTCTCCTCTTACATTGCGCACATGGCACACCACTTCCGGTATCGTAACGCAAGACACGACAGGTCGATCGTCACGTCCTTCTCGCTGTGCGCCTGAACAGAGGAACTAAAGCATAAGCTGTGTGCCCTTACGTAACCGAGACCACCTGACCCTGCCAAGCAAAGACCAGTCCAATGGTCAATGGTAACGGCTTACCGACCATACTAAACAACGAGCACGTGCTAGACGTGTGGACATGGCGGTCTCTCATTCGTCAAACAGTGACTCATTCCCGCAGATTGTTATATAGTGAATGAATATAGAATAGTTCCTGTGCAACGGTCAAACTACACTCCCTTACGAATACAGTTGAGCGCTTTGCACCCGAACTCATTCAAACAACCAGACCAACCCCATCCGTTACAGGTGTTCGATCGCAAGATATGTTTCTTTGCTCACATATATTCCATCACGAATGAACTTGACGGAAGCTTACTTGCAGCAACGGGGGGACATGCTCCTCCCCCTCGAAGCAGGCCTTCAACGGAACCCGTAAGGCTTCTACGCTCCCATCGCAATACGTTTCTTTCATCCCTTCGGCAACGTTAGGGTCCTTCCACCTTGCGATGGCGATGCAAGGGGAGGTACTTTCCGCGCTGCTTGGCTTGAGGCCCACGCAAAGATAAACCCCCGGCGCCTGCATGAACCTGTCACGAGAAAGCTTGTCAGGAATGAACTTGGCAGAAACGTGTGTTTCTGTCCTTCAACTCTTCAGAGCGCCCCCAGCCCGTTCTGCGCATTTGAATAATAAATAGAAAGCCCGTGCAATCTTCCACAATATGGTTGCGAAACATTAGAGTGTTTGCTCGTACGTTCATTCTTGTATCTTAGTTGCATTCTCACAACCAACTTTTCTGCACGGATTCATCTCAAGTTGGCAAAACGGGGTGAAGGTTCAGCATGGACTGCCAGCCAGCCTTTGCGAGCCTACCTTGACGATCTCTCTAGAGGATCGACGGTTAGCTTTTTGAAAAAGGACACAACTCTGAACCGCGATTTGTGTCTTGTAGCCGAGGGTTGTCCTGGAAATCTGGCGGGGAATCCGCGTTCCCCGTCCCCTCGTTATGTCCGGAACAAACTTGTTAGAAACATGTGTGACTTTACGCTCGCTTAAACGTCTGCTCGGAACCAACTCCGGTGATGCAGTCCTATACTGAGCAGCTCAGCGGGTCTTGTGCACGGAAGTGATTCAAGCACAAGTTGACACGCACCAATCAGTCTTGGCTTGAATGCAACCCAAGTGGGGAGGACAACCTGCTACGTAGAGGAACGATTATCCAAGACTTCGGAGACTTTGACCAAAAAGGGTGTGGCAACGGGTTATGAAACGGGTTAACGGAGTTCCGAGGAGAGAACGGGAAGAGTTTGACAAGCAGCGCCGCAAGCCAAGCAGTCAATTGGCAGGGCCAGGATGAAGCGAGTGTTGCTAAACTCACCAGTCTAGCGCGGTCTTCATGAACGTTAAGGAAGCCCACGTGTCAAAGGCGTGGATGACAATGGGTAGGTTGCCTCCTTTCCGTGATTCCCAGTTCTGATGGTAAACCCCCGTTGTGGCCTCGAGGTACGATTCGCCCATTTGGACCCGCCCGTCGAGCTCGTTCAACGGAGCTGGTTTCAGGAATGCCACTGCACAGCAAGTTAACCCACGGGAAACCTTTGGCTGCTAACCAGGTTGTTAAGCAAAATGAGGTCTCGGGTTAATGGACTGAAAACCAGATTACAGACTCCTTCCAAGGCTGCTGGACCTAACCACTTTCTAACCAGCCCATAACCAACCATGGTAGAGTGCCAAAAAAGTCCTGTGACCACTCAATTAATGACCCATAGAAAAGGTTGCCTATCACATTATCTGGTTGGCGGATGGTTGAGTTGCTTGACAACCAGGGATAAGGAGCGTGGTTGAACCCTTTAATGATCAGGGGCCCGGTGCATAGTAATAGCTCAAAGTGTTTACTTCTATCATACTCAATAACGTTGAAAGAAACATACTCGAGCCCGTTGCATTTTACAGCGCCAGTCTGCAATGCATCAGGTGCGAGCTCTACGGGTTTCGACGATATACTGGACTGCCCGCCTTTCGGCAAAATTCGAACATCCCGTCGAAGCATGTTGTCTTTGCTTGTAAGGGGCCCGACATGAGTAGCGAAAGCAAAAGAGATCACGGGAGCATCCACAGTGTCCCCTGCCTTGTCAGAAACCCTGGCATGAAACCCAGCACATAGCAGCAACCATTGCAGTTTTAGCGTTCTGAACTAAGCCAACAAATCAACTCGTCCTTCGGGGCTTACACTTGTCAATGCTCTCGCGGAGGTGCTCAAAGGCGCCATACGCCAGTTTGCGCAACGGAAAGCTCCTAACCCCCGCAATCCACGCTTCCCCATCCACGAACCACAGTACCAAGTCGCGGTCTCCGCTAAAGTACCATTCGCAGAAGTTGGCACGATCCGTGCGGATGCCGGTCTTGACGGGAGCGTCGAACACGTCATCAGACGTCATGCGCGCGCGGAACTCGCGCTCGTGCTCATCTAGCACGGAGTCCCAGCAAGCATACCTGAAAGAAAGACAGGGCAAAAGTCTTCCGGCAAGCATATAATCTGAGAGGCAAAAGTCTGCGTTTCGTTGTCTGTGATTTTGGAACTTGATGGCCTGTCCGCATCGCCGTCTACTGGTCAAAAAATTTCCGAACACTAATGCAGCTCCGCAGATCTTTGACTCCCTTGACGTCACCGTTTGTTTGACGTCACCAGACGCAACCGACGCCACCTGGCGGCGGGCGCGCCAGCGGTATCAAAAAGAGCAAGAAGATAGAGTCCATCTGTTCTGAAACGAATCAAGCATCCAGGAAGAATAACGATGTATGCCTCATAACACTTGGTGCAGAATCTTGGCTGGCTTTGGGAATCTTGAGTACGCTTCTGGGCTTTCGAAAACCCGCTCTAGGTTGGAAACCGGAAGGCTGAACAATTACGGGTGCAAAATCGCCCTCTCCAGACTTGTCATCAACAGAATGAAGACCTGATGATGGAACACCTGGGGGACTTTCCCAGGGCAAGATCACTGAATTCTGTCGCACCTTCACTGAGCGACAGAAGTCAGGGGCCAAAAGGGCAACAGAATTGATAACGTCAACAGATTGGAGAACCTAGCTCAACAGACTAGAAACCTGATCGCAGAGATTTTACTATCTGCTGAGGCGGCCCTAGAAAAAGCATCGATTCTCAAAATGTTGGGCGAACCTGCAAGCGTGACTTATGGCAGACAACCTCTCTCACCTTTCAAAGGCTTCTCTGGCCTTTGCTTGAAGCCGGGTTTCCATAACAACTCGAAGGTGTCAGGATCGGCTAGCTGGCTTAGGCGAAAAGAGCAGGGTAATTTTGCAAGTAGGTTAATGCTTGTCACGATTTGTTCAGGCCTTGCAGGAGCGATCACAGGTATCTGTGCAAACAGCACCTTGCCCTTGCGGCGTGCGGCCACCTTTTCCTGGAGTATAGGACAAGCACATCCCGCGCTTCTTGCACGCACCTCCGACATACGCGGCGGAAAGCTCACTTAACCACAGAGCTCCTTCTTTGAACCCGCCATTTTGTGGACCATGTAAACCGGGCCTGACGGCCGCGCGGGCGGCGGCTCGCTGGGGGTGCGCTCGCGGCCGGCCACGGCGATCGACTTTGGGGAGGTTTCCAGGTTTCGCTGGAAGCGCGGGCGGGCGGGGCGGGCGTGCGGGCCACGGGGCCCATGTGGCTATCAATGACCAGTGGCTTGGCGTGCGGCCGCCCGGCCACAGCCGCGCGGCCGGGTCCCCCCGGCGGCCGGGCAGACTCACAGCCGCTTTGAGCGCGAGTGGGATGCGGCCCGCTTTAGAGGGTGCTGCGCAGGAGGGCGCGAGAATGAAGCAGGCGCTGAGGGGGAACCATATGCTCGTTCCTTCTGCCAAAGGCCCACAAGAAATCAAAGGGACACTTACGCATACCGGGAAGTAAAGTTGTGAAGTTGGCACGTGTTGGCCCCGTGTTGAGCTGTGTTGGCCAACTTTACAACTGCTCGGACCCGACAACACAGCTGCTTTGCCTAGCCACTAGGACAACTGAAAGGCTAGACGACGAAACTTCGACGCAATACTTGTCCCACTGTGTGCAGGTAGCGGAGGTGCTAAGCTTGGCTCGATCCAGCAAGGCGCGTTGCTACTTACGTCAATCCCCCGTCAATCATCATGGCCGTCTGTTTGTGCTGCCTGCATGCCAAGCGTGACAAAAGGACCGGGAGCCTAGCTCCAAGGTAAATCGTCGGACAGTTGCCGAGGATAGCGATCCTCGGCGTGCGGCGTGGAAAAGCAACCTGCGCGAAACTCGTATTTTTTGCAACTGCACAAAGCATCAAGTGCGCTTGCATGCGCACCTTAGAATTTCTCCAATTTGGTAAATCTGGTCACGAAAATGATCCTGATCGTTGTATAGTACACTTGCACCATAGATTGTGCCTGCCACATGATGTTCTTTTTTTAAAATGGTGTAGCCACATGCATGGGCCATATAGAGGGGTTCCATGCATGGCATACAACGTTTGAGTACAATGATACATGTCCATAATACTCCATGAAATGTAAGAACCCACCCGCCAGCGTGAGCTAGACATGTAGGCATGTCCGGTGTAAGAATATATAGCATGAGAAGCGTCTGTGCCGGTAAGCCGATACGGGTTGCAGCTGCATGCCATATGCCGGATGTCGTGCCGTGATGAGTCGAGGCTGTGCCGTGTCGGGTGCGCTCAACATATGCAGTCGAAGCGAAAAAGCATGATGCCTATGTAATAAGCTACGTGAAATAGCAAAATCTTATCTCACTCCCCCCCTAACCGGTGAGGTCGTCCCCGACCGAAATCAGGTTAGACTCACAACGGATACAGGGTAGCCCCAAATACCGTCTGTACATCGCGCTAGCGCCAAGGTGCTCTCCAAAT